GCACGACGGCAGTCACCACGAGCTGGTCCACAAGAGCAGCTTTGGGCCTGGCGGCATCGAGGGCAAGCCCATGCATTATTTGATCCCGGACATGCCGATGTCTGCGAAGGATTAGATGTGTCTGGGCGAGGGTATGGGTGCTGGCGGACGCACCTTGTTGAATTTCTGCCTCTATGACTAACTTATCGACCTTTTCGTGGTGGGCCTGTGGCTCTGGAACTGGAATTTTCGATGGGCGATTCTGTGACGAGAGACGATGGGGGGAGAAACAAAACGGTGGGAGGAAGGAGATGTTTATCCCACCCAGACCTAACGGGGAACCCAGGAAATCTTGCATCTCGCACCGCCCGACCTTTATACTTGACTGCGCCTGCCCTACGCGTCGGTCCTAAAAGCCTTTTGGACGGTTGCGACCTGTCCTGACTCTACCGTGCCTTTACTCGGTCCCCAGTCCTTGTCGCCACCCCGCCTGATTTGTGATTTCGTTTCCACTTTCAAACCACCTTCTAACGCCGGAATTGCATTCTTATGTATCATCTACGCTATATTCACCACCTTTCACGTTCACGTTCATCTTCATGTTGATGCTTTAGCCAACATAAGTCGTACAATTTTCCTCGGTAGCACTCATCGATCATCGTTTTCTTGCTTTGGTCCTGACACTTTTTTTTGCTTCGCTGTTACCCACGTACGTAGGATATTTGCTTACTCTGTCGAGCTTGCTACTGACATCTTGGAATCTCCATCTAATGCGATGTATTTTTTCCTCTGCTTAGTTTACATAACGAATACAGTGTGCTTCAGTCAGTACAGTTACTCAATTGAGGAAGGGTTTGTTTACCTTGGCAAACGTTTGAACTTGCTTTATCCCTCAGGCCTTCAGGCCTCAACCTTGACCTCGACACGCACTTACCACCACGTTTCTCCCTGCCCTCCTCCTCGTTGTTCATCCGAATCACAAAAAGGCAGTGTTTTGTACGAGGTTTTCAAGCCTTGCAGAGTCTTCGTTCAAACTTCATAAGTAGGTCGACCTCCGCGATCCTCCACGAACTCACGCAATCAATGTTTTCTTCCCTTCGAAGTCGCGTTGGGGACCATTCAGAATGCCCGGCCTTCCTACCATATGCGATGCAAAAACATTTGCAACCTGGAACGTGTTCACACTGTCTCCTTGTTCACAGTCTGTCTTGGTGGATCGTGTTGTCACTTCGCATTTCTTGACTTTTTGCGGCAAGCAAGTCAGCTAGTCACCTACCAGAAGGCCTGCAGGCGAGACTTGCCGACCAGAACAAGTCAAGGACCATCTTGCGTCTATAATTTGCAAAGGCCACTGTACCGACTGGATGGCCCAGCTGAACGGGATCTCTCATGCGAGTCTTTGGCGCCCTCGAACGTTTGCCGCATCGTGGACTCACTGCCGCCTGGGATCCAACCCTGACGAGGTGTGGAAACGAAACAGTTATTTCTACATCTAGGACCCTTGTCCTCTGCCGTACCTGGTGTTATATTTGAACTAGAAGGGGTATTTTTGGACACAGAGTAACGGTATGTCATCGCCTGATCATATTCATCCGCTACGCCGTCATTCCTTGCGTCGGGTCTCGCTCTGATGTATCGTCTTTTGGCCTCTTGAACACAGGGAAGAGCCGCTACGCCCTATGCCCTGCTCATGTGGTGCCTGTTCTTACAGGCATGGGGCTACCCCAGCTTCATTCTTGTGTCCGTTACTCCCCACACTTGTCTTCGGTATTCAATTTCGAAGCAAATAACGGGGCCATTTCATCTCCCCAGGACTTCCCTGTTCTTATCTGGACAACGCGGTCTAATTTGCACCTATTCGGAAAATTCGACGCGTGCTTGTATGAAAGGTCCGAAGTCCGAACGGCGGCTATGGCATGCTTGAGAAGTCAAGCAAGCTCCTTGCCGTCCGATTATCATCCAGAATGCTGGAGAAATTGGTTTGTTTCCTGCACTGCATCATTGGCGTCTTCAACACCTAAATACCTCCATCAGCGACGAATTGCGACAGTTCAAAAGGTTAAACATCTTCCCATCAGACGGAGCTAACATACTATCCCTATGCTTGTATTGTGCATCGACCCCCGATGGTCTGCTGTTTTACCGAGTTTCAAGGAGTCGAGATGTCCTCCCAGGAATACGTTCCTCGTCCCTGCATCATTCAACCGACTTCTCGTTTGTCTATGTCCGAGTGACTGTACCCACTCGTCCATCGGGATGGCGTGAAGGAGCAATCGAGCGTCAACTCACATCCATCTCCAGCCAGCTGACCCTGTACATGCATGACGTCCCGGAGAACACCGCCTTCTCGGGCAACGCCTCCAACGTCTCTTACGACGGACGAATCCCATGGGCTCCAGAGCGCCATCTACCCGATGTGCGATCTCTCTGGAGCGGGGTTTTCTTTCGTCCCCACTTCCCGACGGCAGAAAAAACCTTGGTCTCTGGATTACCGCCTCCAAGCACCAATTATTTTGACCGGCTCCAATGTGCGGTATTTCCTTTGCTCCTGATCATGATCATCTTCAACCAATAATCGCCTTTTACCACCCCTCGCCCGGTCTTTTGCCTGATGGACCAGATTTGTCCATGCCCATGCGGTACCGTCATGTTTGTCCATGGGCACATTCACCTCTTTGGTTTGTCGACTGCAACTATTTTTGTTGTCAATACCCATCGAATCCTAGGCTTCGTCCGTTCACCGATACGTATGTACCGGGTTTTGCGAACGACACTTGTCACTAGTTCACTTGCTGCTGATCGATGATCAATCTGATCAGCACTCTCGAGCTCTCCAAACCCCATTTGCCTCGAGGCCGACTTCTCCAGGTGTTCGATGAGTTTGCTTCCTGTTACGGTTTTCAAGGGTTCCACCAAGCCTTCTTGCTGGTCATTCGATGGCCTGGCCCACTGTGGCCGTCTACGATTGATAAATTTGATTACGCTCGCAGTCGAAGGAGATAGGAGAGCAGGACCCACTTCCAAGAATACGCAATGACAAGGTAATCTTGCGTTCTAGGTGGACATTCCAACAGTTTGGCTCAGTTTAATGCCCGATGCCTGCAGGACTTTTTCGACACATTTGAAACACGAAATTTCTGCCTTGGGATTTTATACTTCTGCCGGTTTGAGCAAAAGGTCTGGTCAGCGCTATTCATTGAAAATTACTGCTCAGCCTTTCTCCCTGTCGAGTTTATTTTAGATGCATACCTTCTCCAACAATATAAAGTATGTGTCGGCATCATTTCATACGTGGTTCATCTAATCAAAATATCCTTGTAGTCAGGATCAAACCAAAGCCTTTGGCGAACGAAGTGAGGTTCTGTTTAGACTCCATTTGCGATCCTCTTTCAATGCATTCTTGATGTCAGTATCATATCCGATGCTTATGTTTTACTCATCCCCGCACGTTCGGTGCTCTTCGGTCGTTTCACAGGCGTAATGGGCACGGGATTGCTCAGGTGAGCCTACGACATCCACGGCCCTCTGTGTTTCCCGCTCAAAATTGAAACAATTAAACCATAAGGCGGCATGGTCCAGGCAAGCAAGTGACGCCATGACGTTTTCTGTCAAAATTTACACGCATTCTGGGGATTCTACGTTTCTGGCGGATTTGACTCGATGTATTTCTTGGATGTCATATTGCCGCATGTGCCTCAGACCTCATGATCATCCAAGGTGATCCTAGGGTGTACGGTCTTCCTGGACTGGACCAGGGAGCCTCGACCTGGCGGACATCTCATGCTCTCAAGGGATTCTATTCAACGTTTGCAACCCCCGTCCAATGCTGTTAGTGCTTGTTATGATCACACTTACACGTTCTTCTACCAGTCCTTTCTCGCATGTGTCCAAGCCTGTGCTCTTCTCGCTAAGGAATTCCGCTAGCCCGAAGATTGACGACAACGGACAAGAATCTGAGGGAGCTTAGAATTGCACACCCTAGTGTACCTTCGCGGAAGGCTAAAACGTTTGCCCGGCTCGCATAACCTTCTGACCTCGCCACAGCCCCCTCGAATGTGCGCCTCCCACATGATCGACCTGCCTTTCATCTTCGTGCGCCCGTTCGTCGTTTCCTTGAGCGACATTTGGAAATCTCTCCTTTTCTAGTAACCGCCTTACCACCAAGCCTCACTTCTCCGTTCTCCCCGCTGCGATCACCAAAGGGTTTGCGACGTTCTGGACGGTCAAACAAACCCCAAGCTGCGATCAGCTATAGTCTAGAGGGACGGGTATTCGCAAGCTATGGTGCTCCTCACCGGGCCTGCGATCAGACACCGTAACTGTCGTTCATAGGTGTAGTTCATGTCGGCCACCGCCTTGAGTTTTGAACGGGCGTGCAATTGCCAAATGATTTCATTTCGGTTCCACCCTCCAGAGCCAAGAGTTGGGCACTAGAATGCAGAGCGTGCGTATCCCATCGATTTTGCTTCCCATTTGACGTCTATTCGTCAGCGTACTCCATTTGAAGGCAATTAAATCACGTCTCTTTAAATAAAAGCTGACTTCCATTTTCTGACATTGCTCCTTGTCTTCTCTATGTATGTACCAAACACCGTGAAGTGTAAAACTCACTTTCCCCTTCTCCAACGTACGAATTGAAAACATGGTCCTGCATACCCTAATTGATTAATACGCGAATTCGAGATGCACATCTAGTCTGATTACATCTTCCACACCCCATAACTCTAGACACTTCCAATGGCGACCCATTACCGGTACCTCTCAGACTCGGAGTCGCAAGGACCCGATGTGAATCGCAAATCGAAGGCTGGATGGACGAAGGGAGTTATTAACATTTGAATACCCCTCTCAAAAATTAAATCTCGATATGCCAATGGAATTAAATAGCGTGGAGGTGTGGAACACATAAGGATAATAGTACTTGGAAATAATCCCGTCTATGATACTGTAAGGTACGTCTATGAACTGCGTACGCAGTGCACGCTATAATTAACGAGGTCGTGGGAGGAGTGTGTAGACGTAAGACACGAGACGCGAGATGGGAGACCCAGCTGGTCCGTGGTCCGCCGTCCATGGAGCTGACGTACGAGGCCTTCGTACGTGCACCAAGGCAGGCCGTAAGTGATTCGGGTGTAACGCAACGGGTACTCGAGTAATGTATCTCTGGAGGTGTGAAAGCGGGTTACGACCAGCCTCCTGGAGTCCTGTTCCGCAAGGGCAATGGTAGCCATGCTCTCCCCAGTTTATGACTTCTATGCTGCTGTGTAGCCGAGGTCGCGGTCGAGGAGAGGCCGACTTTACGTATCCTTGCAAGCCTGGACATTCGTAAGAGGCAGTTGAATAAGCGAAATAACGTAAGGGATGAGAAGAGCGAGAGAAGAGCGAGAGACGCACTTCCGGAGCCCGGCCCATGCAACGACGAAAGCCAAAGATGTGGCAAGACTGGTCATGCCGTAGAAGGCGTATGGGTGTTGTTCGATGTGACTTAGCAACTATGAGATACGCAAAACGCCGAAGAAAAAAAGACAAGGTTAGCATTCGGAACAGCATGGAGCAGAAGCGAAATGAGGGTATAATGCCAACTGGTGCCAACCGGGCAGGAAGTCGAAGGAAATGCCGCACTCACATTCATGCCAAACAGACCAGCAACCAACGCGCCGGACCCAACTCCAAGGGTCGCAATTGAGACCTAGAGGTGCGACCGTGAGGTGGGTGAAGACAACGCGAGTGACAATGACGACAGAGAATGAAGAAGTGCCATTATCGGATTGAGTTAAAGTTATAGCAAAGAGACACGTTAGCTTCAACCCAGCGACGTCGGGGCAAGTAAAAACACGCGCCTGAAGGTCCAGCGCCAGCAGTGCATTCCGATTAGAGTCCAGTATGAGCTCCACAATTTCTTGAGTCGACTGTACGTTATTCTAGAGGGGATGAGCCGTTTCGGTCATTGAATGCATCGATGACACGTCGAAAAGTATCCGACCTCGATGTTCTCCGCCTCGTTCACAATTTCCTCGACCTGCTTCGAGAAGGACTCTAGCAAGACCTCGAGCTCCTCGTGATCGTGTTTGGCACGCTCAACGCCGTTTTTCTTATCACTGAGGTACATGGCGTCCATATCCTCATCTAGCAAGAGAAACATCGAGCTCAAGCCGCTTTCGGTACATGCAGAGAGAGAATGGCAATACCTTGACTGAGGACCTCATCTATGGCTTCCTCGACCTATCAATTATGGGCTGTGGATCGATGCGAGTCATTGTGAAAAGGAAGGAGACTGACGAGCGTGGCTCTATTTTTAAAGCTGGCGAGCCGTCTTGAATAATGCAGGAGCCTTTTGAAACGGTCGTGGTCAATGTTATCTTCCATCTCAGCCAGGAGCCCGCCGATGAGGTTTCGGATAAAGACCATCTCTGCCTCAAGTGCGCTAAGCACTGAAAGGAGGATAGATTCAAGAGCTCTGGAACCGGGGTTAAGCGAGTGCTTGCATAAACAAATGTCAAGATCGTACCGAAACTCATACGGCGGACCTGTCCCCTTCGTTTTGAGATTGTGCTGATAAGGAGGATCAATGATGATAGCGAGTGATGCTTAAGATGGATGGACCAACTTCCAGATGATACAGGAAGACTGAGTGGAGCCGTGAATCAGCAGAACCGTATGTGTCGAAAAGCACAACGGCGTCGGCCTTCACGAGCGCGCGAATGTGAAGCATATTGACCTAGGACGAAATAGTCAGAAGGCGAACAGATTGAATGGGGAAAACTACCAAGATTGCTTCCTTTCGGACGAGGATTGTGGGGACGAGATTCGGAACCCTCGAATCGATTTTCCGGAGGTCACGGGCCTGTCAATTCCAAACGAAGCCACGCGTCAATCGCGGTCTACGCGCCGACATGGTCCGCCCTTCTTACATTCAAACGGTGCTCGGCGCAGAGATCTGATTTCTTGAATTGGCCCGAGATGGTCTTCACGTTTCCTGGGGGCGGGGGTGAACCACAGTCCGCCCGTAAGACAAACGACATTACCTTCGGCATCAAGTACGGTACCTGAATGCGCAAATGAGCGTAGGACAAGAGACAAAGGGTGGACGCACAACGAAGCATGAGATCGGTGGGCTGCCGACCCTTCATGACCTTGTCGAGAATAGCAGCCCGTGCGACATCCTCTTCGTTGTCAGGGTGCTCAATGAACTCCTGGGACTGTGGCTGCTTGAACGACCATGATATGTGTCGGGTAGCAGGGGGGAACTGCAGCGGTCTCCGTTGGCAGGTGCTGGCGATGACAGGGCGTGTGAGGACGGAGTAGAATGCAGAAAAGGCATGGCGGCGCTTTACATGGCTGGCGCAGTGAGACCACAACGCTCTATGCATGCGCGACGTGGAGGACGTCGGGGCGGACGATGAGGAACAGAAATCTTAGTCAGCGCTTGGCGCCGGAGTTGAGCGGTGACCGTGACATGATCACGCGGGATTGGCGCGTCACGCGCTCCGACGGTCCTCAGTCCCGTCCGCGAAGGGCAGTCTCATTCCGTGGACTCTCAGAATGCCGAAGGCTCTCGGATCGCGCAGGTCCTCGCGGGACCTATCTGTATCTGCTCCTAGATCGTAGCAGCGCGCCTGCATCGAGAGATTGGCTTTCTGGCTCCCGATGGCATTCATATTTGTGCAGACGCGACTGGTGCACACTTCTGGGTCGTGAAAACGTTGCGACAACGTGCTGCCCATTTCGCCTGATCGGACATATCCGCGCTCGGCAAGCGTGGATGAGAAGATCAGGCATCTGCTGATATCATTCTGTGCGGCCTGGAGCCCTCTGCGGTCTTATTACATATCTTAAGATCGCCCCTTCGTCTCCTACTTCATCTTCGGCGGCTGCCTGAACCCATAATATGACCTGCGCTTGACACCAACCCTCTGCTTTCTTTTACCCTCTCTCCCCAGCAATGCAAGAGACTCGAAGACTCCTGGAGGCGGCTGCAGCTCTCTCCGCGCTTCTCAGAGATGCTGGCATTCCACATGCTTTCTACGGAAGTGTTCTCACTGCTGTCCTCGCCAACTCTCCTTTTAGTGACGCAAGTATACCTTCAATTCCTTGAATTGTGATTTTCACCGTCTCCTAGGAGATTTTCTGCATAGTCGAAGGCGGCCAGAACCAAACCCACCCATTCCGAAGGACCCGCGATGCCGTGTCCGGGAGTGACGACTTCACCATCACCCACTCTCCATGGACAAATAGGTTAATTATTTTCTCTTCTGCTCTACCGAACTGCTCCTAATTCGACCCAGGCTGCACGTCACATACCGTCGTCCTATTCCGGTAGTCGAAGTGAGTAGTCTCATTAACTCACCTGATCAGAAATTTCCCATATTTTCAGATTGAGATATTACCTGCTGGAGAAACAGGACCCCGCCATCTGGACACGTCAACCGTCATGCAAATGCAAAATGTGCCTTTCCTGACCTTGTCAGAGTTCGTCCGAGCCAAACTGAAGACATGGGTCATGTAGGTGGTGTTTAATTGCTCGTTATAAACCCTAATTCCCCCATCGCATTCCTCCTTATGCGCGTCTCTAATCTTCTAGCCGTGGTGCCGACAGCGATGCGCAAGATATCTCCTACGTCCTCACCCGCTATTGGAACCGCATCGACATAAATCGCATCACCGAGCAAGACATGAACCACTTTGTCTCGCGCCATCCAGCAATCGCTCCCGCCTGGGTATCGCTCCGACGAAAGTACGGCATGTGACGCCCGCTCAAAAGTACACCATACGACGAATCTCACTACCAATTACGCATCTGCATTCAAGGGTTTTATGGACTGACCACAACGAGGGAGGAGGCGTTGCTTTAGTCAACCGTCCAACTTCCATGGGTGTGTGGGTCGGCTAATATAATGACGGGGAGAAGGAAGGCGTCACAAAAATCAAAAGCATCTCACCGCAATTCTGTATCAATAATACAATTTTGTATGTATATTCATTCGCATTCACAAGCATCACCGAAAATTCAGCGTCGGACACGACTTGGCATTTTTAAACTCATTGGAAACTTCGAGAGCGATGCTAGGAAGTAAGTATGACGGCAGTGTGCAACCTGGGATTAATATCACCATAACATACCGAAGCCTCTTCGGTGACGCGCTTGCTCTGGAGACGGAGGTTTTGGTCGCTCCAGAAGTTACTGGACCCTGCTAGAGACTCCACTCAAGTTAGCGCCGAAAATAGAACGACGCACGTCAGTGTCCCTTCAACCACTACGGCACAACTTGTGTGGTGCAACTTGTGCTCTTCAATTCCATTCAGAAAACACAATGAAATGGCAGTCATCCGACGCCGTAAGATCAACACCTAAAATAACAAAGTGACAACTAGCGACGTGCTCTTGCAGGAGCAACAAATGAGTAAAGATGTAGGTCGAGGCCGAGGACCAATAAGATAGAGCGGCTATAGTCATTCGGAATAAAGCAACGGTAGTTGGAACTTGGCGGAGCAACCATCTAAGCGTAAACCGCAGGAGGTCGTGACCTCCAGCGGCATCCATTGGTTCTGCATTTGGTCGTTGTTGACGCTAGGTCCGGTCGAAATAAAACAGGGCAGGATCGGTCGAAGAAGGTACCACGCCCGTCCAAGCAACCCCAATCACAGATGCCGCCCTCTGAGTCATGGTAAAAGCCATGATATATGGACTCCGTCCTATCGATCGACTACGCTCCTGGGCTGCGACTGCAGCAGGCACGTCGATATGCGAGTCTTGACGGCCGGATCGCATCTTCTGACCAAAGGCTCCTTCGAATTCAAGATGGAAAGATAGATCTTTGTCATGTCGTCAATTGGCGCCATGCAGAGAAGAGAATCGGGGGTGAAGGCGAGTCGGTAACCTCCGGATTGACTTTGTTGTGAACTCGGTGGGGTACATCTGGAAATGGCTGGCCGTCGGCCGTCGGATGTCCTGGTATCTCGGAGCTGCGATGGGAGTTGTCTCTGCTAGGCCAATAGCAGCGGTGAGAGGCAAGCGAGAGCAGCGTAGCTATCGTAGAAGACTTGGAAAAGAACCCGGGGCGTCCTGTCCTCATGTAGGACTGTAATGTGGCACGCTTTATACTTGGGCACGGTGCCTGCGTAGATGGCGAGACAGCGGTCAGGAATAATTCATGCGACCGGGTGGAAATATGTAAATGACGAATGGGGCGACCGCGTGACTTGCCCACCACTGCTTGCTTCCCCATCCTTTTGTGGTGGACGAAGCCAAAGCACAGAGTCCGGACCCGCTGTGGGATTGTTTTATAGCGCCAGATCACCTCTGAATCTCTTTTTCGCCGAGTCAGTAAATGGGGAGGAGCAATAGGCCAGGGTTCGACAGCTCACTTGGACACCTAGATACATTCCCACCCCAGAATTTCAATGCAAAAACGAAGCCTGATGGATCAATGGGGTTATTGGGGGACCATGAGCGAGTCCCAGAGTCCTTGGTTTTTATCGATATCGGTTTGGATGTGGACCTAGACAGAATTCCTGCTAGCTTTGGGAAGGAAAGACCACAAGCAGATGTGTGGGTACTACCATAGAAGTGTCGACGTCAATCGATTATATACATAGATGGTTCAGAACGGCGAGAAGGTAGTGCGAGTGGGCACCCTTCCACTGAGCACATCGACGTGTCTTTATCGATGCACGTCGTGGGCAGGGGGGCACCGCGTTGCATTCCAGAGGTACTTCAGGGTCCTTCCAGTCTGCGTAGCGAGTCTTCGATGCCATTGTGCCCGTTCTTCAGCATCCTGCAAGTTCGCGACTCGAATGATGCCACGCTCGCTTCTCAGGCTAACATGCAAGAGGGGTCACAAGGCATCCTCGACTCCCGCATGCGCGTGAACGGGTATATTAGACCCATGTGAAGCTGGGGTATTTTCCCGTCGTGTTGATAGTAGACATCTTGTCTCGGTTCTGGTTTGGTCCTCCGTCCGGGAAATTCCGTGCGGCGCCTGTTCTAATTTTACCGCATTTGTTGGCTGCTTTGGGAATAAGCACGATTTTTCTGGCTTGTCTAGCTTATGGGTACAAGAGGAAGCAGGTTGTTCAAAGCCTTGGGAATTTTTTCTTCATAACTTGTGGGAGCGGAGGAAAGAACATGCTTCAACTTTCAATGAACTTAAAATTAAAATCGTTATTATGTCGGGGATCTAATCATTAGAGCGAGCGCGCTCTGGACTTACAGCAAGCGCCCGTAGCCAGACCAGGTCCGGGTTTCCCGGGCCTATCCATGGACCATAACGACGCGTTGTTGGCTACCTTGACGCGAACGCAATGCGAAAGGGCGGAATAGTATTGTAGTTTCTTGACGAAGAGCGCCTGCGGTATATTGATACAGTGTCGAGAAGCTTCGGAAATCAGCGAAGTTATGGCAAAGTACTTATACCTGTCACTTTGCCTGTCAGCTAGAGCTATTTTCGCACGATTACTCTCGAAGCGACCCATGCAGCATTCAAATATCCTAAATTATACAACTTCAGCTGTATTCATCCAATCCGCAAGGCTTGCGGAAGTCGATAAAGCGTGTGTCGAGGCGAGGCGAGCCGCACACGTGTAGGGACCATTCTGTTGTGGACCTCCAGCCGTTTGATTTCTGCTTTCCACCTTTTTTTTTCTGGGTATCCTGAATCGCTGTGGCGCGATTTACCTGGCGAACGCAGACGAAGCTTCAAGTAACGAGGCCTGGGTCTGAAAGCCCGATTTGTTCGGACCGATATTTCCGCCATCCGAGTGCTTAAGCGCTTATTTTTAGAAGTCCTAAACCCCGGCTCTAAAAATAGACGCCCACGCTGCCTTGCGGAAGGGCTTACCTCCAGGTAGTCCGTATGGGTATACAGTCGATAAATAGCATATATAGTGTTTCAATAAATCAAACCAGGCGAAGATTTTCCGGAATGGCATGATGCTTGCTATTGTACATGTCCAACACCGCAGCTACCATCTCTTTGCTGAGGCCAGTATAATTTGCAGGCTCGCAAAGACGGTCAAGTTCTTCCTTGCTTATCCCGGAGCGTTTTACTTCCTCGCTCGCGAGTAAGAGGTTAACAAATGAAACGCTCGAGTCGCCCGCCATCTCCCTGCAAATATCGTAAACTAGATCGTGAGCGACTTGGCGGCCTATTCGTTTTCCGAGGCTCATCATGACAGCCTCGCTGACAATCCCCCCTTTCGTTTGCCCCATGTTCTTCTTCATCGCATCGGGATAAACTTCGAGACCTTTCAGGAGCGACAAAGTGTGCGTCAATGTAGCGTGCGTCAACGTCGATATTTGAGGCACCACAATCCACTCGATCTCCTATGGACCCGTGCTCCGTCCATGGTCCTCTACCAAGGCCTCGAACAGCGCGGCGCTTAGCTGCTTGACGGTGCTCGCCATCGCAGTGATGTACACGCTTGAGATGGGCTTCCTTTTCTGCATCGTGCTGCTCGATCCGCGGTGTGGCGCATAGGGCTCGTAGACCTCACCCACCTCCGTCTGCATGAGTAACTTGACGTCGAGAGCGAACTTGGCGCAGGTACCAGTGAGAAGCGCGAAGAAGGCACCGACCTCGGCGATCCAGTCGCGCTCTGTGTGCCAGGCGATTTCTGGTCGGCTGAGACCAAGTCCTTCGGCGACGCCTGCTTGCACTTGAAGGGCCACTTCAAACCCGTATTCGGCTATCGTTGCAAGCGTTCCCGCTGCACCTCCAAATTCAACGACGAGGAGTCGGGACAGGAGCTGAGATAGGCGTTGCTCATGGCGCATAAAGGTGGCCAGAAGGCGAGCCATTTTGAATCCGAACGTCATTGGAACGGCCTGCTGGAGATTGGAGCGGGCGGTCATCGGCGTATCGGCATATTTATCTGATAAATCGCGCGCAGGACGTCGATGATGTCCTTCATCGCGTGTACAACGAGCCTACAAGTATCTCTTATAGTTGAAGGATAGTTGCGGTGTCTGTCACATCCTTCACTAGCATTAATTGCTATGAATCTCAAGCATCCAACTGACTCTCCTCCCACCCGAGTTGTCGCCCCTCAATGAGCCCATTCACCTAGCCCTGGCTTTACTTTATTCACCGAACGGACCAGCTGTTTGACCAAGGGTAACACGGGGTATCCAATTGCCTTGGTCTCCTCAGCCAGCTCCTCCATGTCGATCGTCTCGATTGTCTGGGCCGCGATAACGTCTGCTGCCTCCTGGGGTATGATTCCAGCACGGGCCTGGGCAGCCGCGAGAGAAGCTTCGAACTGCAAGTAGTGCGCGTACGCGAGCGATCCGACCATATCTGGGATATCTCTGGGGTGGAGAATATGTGGCGAAATACGGTAGAGTCCGAAGCAGATGACATCAAGCAGAGTGGATGATAAGGAGAGAGATCGTGAAGGTGTAAGTAGGGCTTTACATCCCACGGTCGTACGCGATGATATCATACTGTCAGACTCATATGCATTGGATACATAGAGCATCGTTCCTATCACCGTATTATTATTATTATTCGCGCATAATGAATGTGGGGTAAGTTTACATACTCCATGCGACGGCGTTTGTGTCGATTTTCCGCCAAGAGAATGATGATTCTTGCTGGTCATTTCCTCATGGAAATAAATTGCATGATGTCCGGGGCAGATAGCGTTTATACCCCTATATAAATTATATGGGAACTCTACGTCACTTCGATAAGATAGACGGGTTTGTGAGCATCAATCTGAACATGTACGGTTTGCCCGGAAGACCACGTACGATCTTATTCCATACGGTCGTCCTGCTCGATTTTCGAAATAAAGAGATCTTCAAGGCTGTCTACTTATATTTTGCCTTATCGGTGTAGATCCATGGATGAGTGTCGTGGGAAGTCATGTCTATGTTGCAGAGAAGATTGTAGTAATAGTAATAGCACCGACACGGGCCCTGCTCCCTCAGCGCTTTATGTGCGAATTGGGCTTCCAGTATAATGGACACCTCCTGGTCTATATTTTTTTGGTAGTAGAAATTGCACGTTGGTCCTGGGAGTTCACCACATTATCGCATTTATCATCCACACCGCCCATCCATTGGAATTCCACTGGCAAGGCTATATTTCGACCAAAGTGTACTTAAACTTACATATTGAGGGTCATAAACAGGCTCTGGATATCGATTTTCGGCAAGATGGAAGAAGGCAGTAGTACTAGCGTTGTAAAGGGGGTAACGCAATGATATCAATACCTAACTCAGTGGCAACAATCACTGAGGCGTAAAGGAGGATCCGAACCCGGGTTAAAGCAGTCCAGAGGGGTACGAGTGCGGGAGAGAAGGGGCGAAAAAATGGGAGACAAGGAAGGAGAGAATCGAAACTTGGACGGGAAGACCACAGCAACATGAACCACCACCACCACCACCACCACCCAAAAGCCTATAGATTTCAGCGTCCACCTGGGCGGGTAGCACCATTGCTATTGCCTGCGCTACCTCCAGCACCGGCAGCGGTATTGCCAACTGACGACCCTGCTAGCCGACTCGCAAGGTTCTCAATTGGGTCGTCCTCGTCCAACCTCCCTTTCCCCTCGAGCACGCCTTGGATGAGGGACATCGTGCTCTCCAAGCTCCTCCTCCGCGTACTCGGACTCGTCATCGTCGTTCCCAAGCTCGCCTGCCTAGAGTGGCCACGCTTGAACGTGCCGCCTGGCGAAACCACTGGGCTACCTGCCGAAACGGGCCCGGAGCCGGACGGCAAGGTTGAAGTGGAGATCCGAGAGAGGGGCGTCCCACGCTGGGCCATGAGCTTTTCGAGACCCTCTGCAACCCCGTTCGGGGAGGGCGGCGTCGGTTGGAAGGAGTGTTCAGAGGGCGTGGTGGGTTGCGAGGAGGTCGAGGAGGAGAGGATGGCTTTGCCTTCTTCTGAGTCAGCATCGTATAGCTCTGGTGGGAGGCGTTCGTTTTCGATGTCTGACTTGCGGCTGGCAAGGAGGGAGGTTATTAGATTGACAATTCGACATACGCTAAGGTGGGGTATCGGTACGCACGCATCGTCGAAGCCGTTGATAGAATCCTTGATTCCCTCAGTCGCGGACGCAAGTGCACCATATGCAAGCTTCGTTGAGCCAGTTACACTCTTCAGTTCGGAAACCTTCTCAGATTCCTCACTAAGAATATCCAGTCATACGCCATCAGAGACCCACAAGAAAAATTAATCGACCGGAGATACGTACCGGAGAAGTGCGAACACTCTCGCCATCCTGCCCACAGCCATAATCTTATTCTTGATGACCTTCCTGCGCTCTGCCTGTTCAGCAGCAGCAGTAGTTGGCGACAAGATGGCAAGGTCATCGTCGCCCTCTTCAAGTTCCTCTTTAGTGCACGTATTGAGGACGGCGACCAACATGTCAGTGACTTGAGACAAGATAGTTCAGTTAGTTAATGCGACGAACGAAGCCGTCAAAACGCACTCTTCTCTCCGACGAACGGCAAGCTCCAAGTGAAGACATCCATGAAATTCGGTAACCAATATGGATGAGGCGTGCAATTGAACTGCCTGATGTTCATGACGTTGCTCTCGTATTTGAGCACCGCGGCTTTGTTGTTGTACACGTCGAGGTAATTGGGGGCGGAGAAAATGGTCATGACGGAAGGGAAACCAGTTGTCTTTGTCTTGCGGTACATACGGTAACTGTTGGAGGATTGAATTTAGACCGAGAGCTGTTGAAAGAAGAATGCGTACCCGGCATCCTGCGCTTCGTGGGCTCGGATGATGGAGAGAAGATTGTTGCGCTCGAGGAATTGGCACGCTGCTTGGTATCTATCACATCAACGCCGTTAATGCTGCGAACAATGACGACAAGATGACGGATGCCCTTACGTGAAGAAATATGAGCAGCCACGGACGTGGTTGTGCACAAAGCTGTCCGTGGTCTTCTCGCTACCAAAATCTTCCACAGGGTCAGCCCACAGAATGTCGCACATCAACCCGTGGGTTGGCGGTTCGCGGAATCGGTCGATCTGGACCATCATCAGAATCTAGCAATAACGGAGGTAAAAATAGAGAGATCATGGCTCACAGCGCGTAGATCATCGAGTGTGTTGAGCTCAGGGGACAATCCACCGTGTATGCAGAGGAACTGTTTGTTCATAACCGCGGCGAGAGGTAGAGCGCAGAAAGACTCCATGCAGGCGTCGTATATCCGTTCTGAATACTTGTGTTTGCCTGTTTGAAAGGGAAGACGGGATCAGGGATCAGGGATTAGGATAACAGATCCACTCAGGGTAAATAGGCGTACATTCGAGTTTGAAGGTGAAGTAATCCGTTAGATGGCGGCATTCGTGGTTGCCCCGGAGGAGGAACAACGAGTCCGGATACCAGATCTTCAGAGACCATAGGTATAGCACGCACTGGAAAGCAACAATCCGAGATCAGTAGCAGAGAAGAGGAACTATAAAGTGAGGGGGACATGCCTCGATACTGAAGTAGCCTCGATCGACGTAATCGCCCAGGAAGAGGTATCTTGTATCTGCTGGACTCCCTCCCACTTCGAAAAGTTTCATCAAATCATACTGGTTGGATGAACTGTCAGCCCTTGGTTTCGAATCTAACTTTACAATCACATACATATTGGCCATGGATATCTCCACACACTTTGGATAGGAATCGAAACGCGACGAATGAGCTCTCACAGCAACTAGAAATCGCAGGTCATTGGCGCACCGGTGATAGGAGCGTCCACCTGGAGGACATTGCCCTCCTTCCTAAGGATTTCAGTGCCCTTCTCCAATATCCACAAAGCCTGCTCCTCTGTCAACCGTCCCTCCCGGTAAAAATGATTCTTGAGGAATGCAACATCGGGTTTTGTCCGATCTTGACCATGCTTGTTGAAGAATTGCTCCGGGGTTGGCTTGAACATCGCTGGCGCTTGTACCTGTGTTTGCGGCACCCGAAGTTACCGGGTACGAGTGAGCGACGAACGACAACGGTAATGAGGACAAAAACGGGTACGCACATCTTTGACAACCCGCTCCTGCGTGCTGATGACATTGCCATCTTCAAGGGTGTGCTGCGTGTAGTCGATTTCCGGTACAGGGTCTTTCGACTGTATCTTTTCTATCGCCCTCTCGATGTGCGTGCTCATGATGAGTTGCCTGATGATACCGATGACCGTTGGTTGTTAAGTATCGTAAAGGCGATTGAGCACAACGCCAGTGGTGGCAGAGGGACCAAGAGAGTGTTGAGGAGAACGGGGATGGGTGTGACAGAAAAGGACAGAACAGGGAACAAGGATGATCAGTGTCAGTGTGATTGTAACTTTCACCAGTGCACGTTCGGACTCCGCGTCTAGGCGACCCTCCTTGTTGATTCGGAATTCTGTGCACAGCGATTTGGAAAATGTTGGAAAAGAGTGAGAGTCAGTCCTTGGACCCAAGCGCCTATATTGACTGGCACCTCCTTGTGAGTCGTGACAATCGGATGGCAGTGATTGGATTCATAATTAGATTGTGGCGGTTGCTGTACAATAACGAGTACCTTAGGTACTCAGAGCCCAGCGCGGATAGAAAGCAGCTAACACAACGAAGAACTAACGGTTATGAAATTGTACAAGAAGCAGATCCATGAAACGCTCTAGTCCAAGAACGAAAAATTTGTCCCCACCGAACCTCAGACAACGTGAGGGATCCATCAGGGGTCACCGGTCACCAGTCAGGTCCCTTGCAGCGTGGCTACAGGTTGGATTCATCGAACGCGAGACTCGCAGAGGATGCTGGATTCACAGAGGGATAGGAGGACAGATAGTTTTATTCCTCTCTTCCGCTTCAAGTACGCTGTTTGGATGTGACATCGGGATGAGAGAGCAAGACTGTCGTCCATTGGCCGACAAGTCCACTGCTTCCCAGAGAGCGTTATAGCATAAGAAACAGGGAATAGCAGTCATACCACCACAACCCAAACCGTCTCGCACGAAATTTCTCTAAGCTTGTCCAGGGTTTGATGCTCGCCGAGCCGCAATAAATTATAAGCTACAGCACGAGCTGCTACCGGAAGTAAGCTCCAAGCACATGCTGAGCTACGTTGAACCCCAATAGCGAAACGAAATATGCCGCAAAAAGTGGTAAAAGAGGCGACAGAAGGAGTTCTGTGCGGATAAGGAAGGGAAGGGCTACGTGCCAAACACTTAGCGACAGCCGGTCATGGGAAGGGAAAGGCATGGGCCCACCGTTTAATCCTAAGTAGACGCCGTACGTGTATTGAATGAACCTACAGAAGCTTAAGCACTCTATATCAATAGAATGAAACATCAAAATGGCTTACGCGGCAAGGTAGAGCGTGTTGCCAACCCATAGGCATACCCAGTTCTCTTTTAGGATGATAGGAAGAAGGGGAAGCTGGGCGAGATAAAGGGTGAGATACAGTGGAAAGAAGGCGTTGGTGTGGACATCGAAGGCATATGCCCATTCGACTCGTGAATCCGCCGGTGTTGAATGAGAAGGAGGGGAAAGAAGCAAGCCATTTGCAGTTAGCCTAGAGTAGTTCAAAAGGTTAATAGGTCGCAGTGGAGGAACTTCATAGAGAGTACCATATGATAGTCGCCACGAGAATGCCTGACAGCAGGAAGTCCCTCAAAATCATAAAAAGTGCTAAGTTTAACATCTCCATGAGACCGTACGAGTAGACGACACTCCATGCAATAGCCGACACTACCAGATCATGGATTAGAGAGAGGAAATTTTGGAAGAACGGAGACAACACACCACACAGACAAGCTCCAATGAGGACCAGAATTGCTGGGTCGTCTCTTGCCCATGTATTTTTGGTTTCTATGGGACTGTCAGAGGCAGAAATCGCAAATAACACAGTAACATACGTTTATGAAAGTACACATTGCGGTATCTGACATGCTGTCATCAGAATTTTCGCAGCAAAATCAAGGGTTGTATGACGCACACTCTCCGCGGCGCAAGACACAGATAGGTCAACTGCCAGGCTGCTAGTTCAAAATCCTACATAAGCTTCAATGAAATCAGCCAGCTTCCCTCTTCAAGATTCGTGCGCACCATCTGTTGCAGTCTGTGCAGCCGGCGGAAGATGACGGGCAATCGCAAAGACGACGGGCGGGGGGACGAAATATGGCCGTCCTCTGCGAGATATGACGCGTTTGTTGGGAGAACCATTATTTCATTTGCATTCCTAGGTCGTCGAAATAGTGCCAGCGTGATGGTTAAGCAGGGGTCTTCGGCGTTGTTAGCGTTGACGTTGAGGAGCTCAGCACTGGCACTGGGCGCTCGCAGTGACAGTCAGTTCAGAACTTCAAGGCTCTGGCCAGGCTTGTAACGTGACCTACGTGTCGGAGCCTAAATCGGAGATGAAGGGAACTTGGGTGGAAAACAACACCCTCAACCTCGACGGCGTTGCACAGGACTCTTTTACCTCCCTCTAGCCCCTTTGAACCACCAATGGCGGACGAAAACGAGACCGTAGATTGGGGTCTCGCGGAAGATGGCCAGCGAGAATCTCTTCGCAGAACCGTCGTTGGTCAGAATGCTGACGATTGCGACGACGTCGACGACATAGAAGACACTGTCTCGCTCGGCGACGAAGACGAAGACCAGGGATTCTACTCATATCAGCCTCAAGATGCGCCAGGATATGCTCACACCTCGGAGGCCCGAAAGGACACCTCATCGAAACCGCCATCTTCGCAAAGGCCCATCGACAAAACGGGCGCTAATGACAATCGACGGGCCCAGCACGAAGGAGAACGTGATGGCCAGCATCACGACACGATCCCAAACTCACCTCCAAGGCCGCGAAACTCGTCCGGAAGCCAATCGTCGCCTCAACGTTCCCAACCCAACGGCAACCGGATGACCCACGCCCTCCCTCCAAAGCCTGTAACGGCAAAAGTGCCGTACCTCCCCCCGTCTCATCCTTCCATCGTCGAGGCAACAAGCATGATTTCAATCTCTCCCAGGGCTCCTAGTCGGGATGCGAAGAAACCTTCAGGGCCCTCTGTTGCTGACCTTCCACAGGAATGGGAAATTCGACACTCGCGAAACGGAGACCCTTATTACTACAACTGCAAGACCAATGAAACAAGTTGGAGCCCTCCCGTGAGCAACGTCCCTTCCACCGCTGTTTCTGAGGAATCACGTAGCCACGATCGCGATCGCACCCGAGGTGGAGACCGCCGCCCCCGCAGCGCCAGCTCTAGCGCGTCACCAAATTATAGACATCCATCTCCCCCGCCTGACTCTGACGCTCATCGCCCGCAGACCTCTTCTCGTCATGATCACGACTCAAGTGACCTGGAACCTGAAAGGAGTGGGCTCTCGTTCCAAGATCGCCATTACAGGCCTGGAGAACCGGACTTCGCCTCTGTAGATGTGCATTTTGGCGAGCGAACTGATTCCCATGAGCTTTCAAAATCCCGGTATGACAGATCTCCCGCCAGACGACGCACTCGTTCTACCTCGCCGCCTCTTGATCTTCGTGGCGGAGGGCACTCAAGAAGCCATGAATATCATTCCCAGCATGGGCAACACCCCAGTCGTGAGAGAAATTCACGCATTAACCCAGATTCCTCCATGCAGAGGGACATCGACATGTTGCCACCTGATTCTGACCGTCGCTGGATTTCTTCTCATGTTGCGCCTACAGACCACAGGAGCCATTCTGACAGGAGTGAACGCGAGCGTGGTTCTCGTAGACCCTCTCATCGGCAAGACGATGAAGTGGATGCGACAATGCATGTCGACAATAGGTCGATTTCCCGGCCCATTCAGAGAAGGCACGACGGCAATAGAGGACTCGTGGATCGTAGGGATCGCGACATGCGCGAACCGCCAAATAATAATCAAGGCTATTTGTCCTCATCCAGTACGTTATCAGCCTCCTCCCATCCCACTCCTGCCTCTCCTCGTGTCGTCATGTCCCAGCAATTGCAAGGGAAGCGTGCGCCTTGTCCATGCTCCGGAGCGAGTCTGGCCAGATTCGTGCGACTCTCGCTGTTTTCACCCTTGACACATCGTATTTCCGTCGGCTTCTCCGCCCCTTACCCTTCCTCAACTCTTGCTCCTTCCCCATGTCTGGACCACGACTGCTATGGGTGCACTGCTAGATTTGTTTTCCTTACACCTTCCATTGCCATTTCTTCCCATCCTCTAACATCCGTCTTATCCTCCATTCTTACCATTTTTTCCATCTGTTTCCCTTTGCGGATTTACAGGACCTAATAGGTCTCCACCACCTACACAAAATCGCGGCCGCGAACGGGATCGTGACCGTGACCAACGTTACGCAGATCCGCCCTCAGCAAGAGACAGCAGGGACAGCTACAGAAGTTATCACGAAGAACCGCCTCATTCGGCCCCAGCATCGTCGACCTGGAACTCAAGTCGGAAGGACGGCAGCCGACCTCCGCGGTTTGACCATTCTTTCGATGCGAATGGCGGTCAGGCTTCTGGCCTTCAAGAGGCCCACTATGGACGCCCATCACCCGGCTTCGACTCTCGCCAATCGCCGCCTCCGCATATAGCCTCGCAGCCACAAGCCCCGCGTAGACGTGGCGGAGAAAGGGAAAGAGAACGCGACAGAGAACGCGACCATGACCATGACCGCCCGCGACACGAACGCGACCGCGACCGCCAACCACCTATGGAGGAAGAGCAAGAGTACCGAAGGCGTCCGGATAGTGGCAATTATATAACGATGCACCCAGCGCCAGAAAGTCGACCGCTGGCGATGGAGAGGAGGAGATATCCTCCTGCTGAAGACATGCACCGACCTCAAGTTGAAGATCAATCACCACGTACGTGCTCTAATCCACCTTACCCGGACCAGCATACCGACTCCTTCCTTCTATCTTTTTCCTTCGATCTCTCTCTCTGGCTATTCTTGTCATTGGATCGGCCATTGGTATTTGATTATGAACTTTTTTAACATCTCACAGGTTATAAGCGGACCCCATTGCCTCCTCAACAGACCTCGTTTATGACTTCTACCCCACCTTCGTATGGACCTAGCCACCTCCCGCCAATTGGACCTCTCTACATGCGCGATCCACCTCCTCACGCCGCTTCTATGCCTCCTCATCACGCCCACCCCCCAGTTCACCCACCACCACCACCTGTGATAAGACAGCCTGGTTGGGCTAACTACGACAGTTCTCTACCTCGTCATCCCAGGTACACTCAAAACGTGTCGAAGCCGAGACCGGACGACGTCGATTCTGAAACTCTAGCCAAGGGTCAGAGTCGTGGCAAGGATGAGCACCCCTCAATGCAACAGCATCTACCAAAGCAGGATCTTAGAATGGAGATGGATGCGAGGTCGGACAGAATGGGCACTGACCCGGTGGACCTGCCGCCTAAGTCCAGTGGGTCTGCGAGGTATGAATCCTCACCTGTCCTGTCAAGAAGCCAGAATCAGAGAGGTGGGGGATACCAGCCACGAAATGCCGAAGATCGTGTTGATGTACTGCCAAGTGGTCCGAAGGCAGAGAGGCAGCGGGCATATGGAGTTGATCGCGCTCCGTCCGTCTCTCAGGGGCCAATGGGTGGTCTTGTGAGGGACAAAGAGCGCGGGAGAGATAGACAGAGCGATGGCATGGAGTCGATGAGTTCTCCATTGTCTAGAGGACCTGACAGCGCAAGGTTTGAGCAGACTCCTGGGGAAGGTTATATCCCTCCCTCCCATGCCCGCGACGAAAGAGGTCGCAATCGTGGTCGCCCGGATGACCGGCCCGAACACGGAGTTCAGAGTACGGATGACGCTGTATGTTGACTTCCCCATATCTGATCAATTGATTGGTTCTCATCTGAAGACAACAGCCTCGCAGGGACTTCAAGCCTCGAGATGATGAAGCAGGTCGAGCACCAGCCCCGGCTCCTCTCTCACTATCAGGAACGAATAATGTACCCATTGGAGTGAGGCGTCAGCCTCCGCTAGTGCAGCCTACTGCCCCTCTGGTGCCGCCTCCGGTGCCGCCTCCCCAGGTGCATGTGCCCCCTGTGCCTCCTGTGCACATTTCTCATGCGATTCCGATTCCGCTAAACGGAATTCCTCCGCCTTTCCCTCCTCAAATGTTCAACCCTGCTGCGAGACCTCCTGCGTCGACGTTGATTAATCCTGCCAAAGCGCGCGACTTGCCTCCAGGAAAGGAGGTTTATGAACGAGTACGCTATTTTGTTTTTCCTTATTCATTGCGTTGGCTTAACGGTCGAGGATAAAGCCCCCTCACATGCCTCCATTGGAGCCCTCTCAAAGGTTCAGTCAACCCAATGAGGTTTCAAGCCAGAGCAGCCCTCCTGTGCGTTACTTCTTTATGTCGTCCCATTACTTTCTAATACACCATCGCAGCTCTCTGAGAAGTCGCAAGCGCCTCCCCCAATGCCAAATGCGGAGACGGGCAGACGCCGAGAATCCCGCTTCTCACCCCCAGTGGAACGAGTGAGTTTATGTTGTCTCTTAAGTTCGTGCAAGCTGATGAACAACTTGTGCAAGAAATCGAGGTTCAATCCCCCTATCCCCATCGAAACTAGACCACGAGGCGACGGACGTGTAGACGAACAAAATCATCCAAATGAGCGGAAGGCAGCTCCCCCTCCTATCTCAAGAGATCCTTCCCTGGTCTCGTCAATAGACCGAGGATCAGCTCGCCATGCGTCGGACGATACTCAATCGGTGGAATCACGTGATGGCCGATATGACAGACCCTCCAAGTCCGACGCCACCCTGCCTCCAGGAAATCCTCCTTCGCAGCCCCCTTTCAAGCAGAACGAGATACAGCCTCTGTCGGGATCTCATCAGGAAAGGCCGCCGCCGTCTGGCGAGAGATTTGGTCAACGTAATACACGTTGGGGCCCAGGCGATGGTTCATCTGCACAGTCACCGGAGCAGGCATTCCCCCCTCCTCCAGCTAATGTCAGCCTTTCTCCCGCGCTCTCTCGCCGTCTCAGCGCGAGCACGGACAGACCCCCTCGGCATCGGAAGTACTTCGATGCGCCCGATGCACGCCCTCCGGTTGGCGTCTCACCTGAATTCTCCAGCAACTCCTACGGGCGGGAGACGGAAGATAGTCACAGGGCCAGCAACGCCAGGGACAAACCCCCAAACAAACGCGGACAATCGTTACTCGATCGGTTATCGTTCGCTGATGATGACCCCCTTGCGCCCCCGGAGGTCCCAACCCAGTCACTCAGAGATCGGCTTGTGCCCTCCAAGAGGGACCGCGATGATATGCTAAACGATAATGGGGATTTCCGCGATGCGTCATATGACGGCGATGAAGGTATCGAAAGTAAGCGCGCAAGGCGTAGGAGTGGCAAGCCACGACGTGGTAGCCACGGTGCTGGTGGGGGCGGGAGGAGATTTGGGTCTTGATTGTTTTTTTTCACGATGTAGAAATTTCATATTCCTGGTGTGCGTAAGCTAAATGCCCGTTTCGTCGTTATCTTTTGTACAACACTTCGTTTTGTAGCTGCAAGCCTGCATCCTCTTCGCTCTCGTTATAATCCGAAACTACACTTTCGACCTCTACTATGGGATTTCGAATTCTTCGAGTCGTCTACAGATCCTCTTCAACTTTGATGAGTAGATCCGGCGAGATAAGCCACTGAAAGGCGATTGGTGGCTGGGTAGCTGAGATGTCTAGTTAGAGAGCCTTCGTCACGGAAAGGAAGGTGTGCTGCAAACGCATGGATAGGTCGCAGTAGAGTATGCGAGTAGATCTGATTGTACATGAGGAATCCTAGACGTGATCGCACTGACGTTCTTTACGTTTCCATCCGCCCCATTTTGGTTTTCGCAAGTGTGGTAGAAGAACAGAGCTGGAGAAATGTAGCAGGTCGGAATTCCATGAGTACCATGTGTCGCCTAGACTAAAGATCTAGAGAAATGAAGACCGTGTTGGGGAAAGACTTGGGGACTTGGATGATAGCTAAAGCTGCTTTCAACTGAGGGATAGACGAGTTCCCGTTGATGTCGTTCTAGTTCAGGTCCAGGGACTACAGGAAAGCAGAAAAGGTTCTTGTGATACAATTCCTCTGGACTTTCTTCTGGCTTTTGACGGTGTTTGGCGACCAGCTGTCCAGAGATTTTGTCTGTTTCGAGAATGCCGATCGCGAAGGAGGTGAGATACTTCTGCTCGCGAGGCCTTCAGGCCCGATGCCGGCTGAAAGCCAAAAAACAGCTTCCTGGCCGTTGAAAGATTCCTGGGAAGCCATAGTGTTTAAGGCTGTTTCATCCCTGATGTTTTTGACTGGAGGAGAGGTGGAAAGAGAGAAATCAAGGAAGCAAGGTACCTCCAACCGGGCCGCCCTACTACTATGGGAGTGCGTAAAAATATTTGAAGTTGGCTTATCGTCTAGAATACAACATGGGCGGATTGTGGTCCTCATAAAGTCAGTGTTCAAATAAAGATACAGAGTTAGTAGAGCACTGGCATACAACCAGTCCAAGGAAATGGGAGAATTGACTGGCAAGATAAAGGTCGTACGTTTCATCATAAATTACAGAAGTGATGCTGCCTGGGTAATGAACCTGGGCAGTTTTGAACTATGAATTGCCAGTGCATTTCAGCTACGAGGTCATAGATATGGAGAATATAGAAGAGCTTACGAATCTCAGCTTTGAGCGCTACGAGGTCAGCATGGCGCATCGCCGTCGGTGAACTGGGAACCTTAAGCATCCTACAGTCGATGACTTTGGGTTCGCCGACGCTGATAGTTCCTTCTCCCTTCACTGGGTCGCGGGGTAGATTGAAGAGAGATGTGGGTCTCTGCGGTGGGTTGTTTGGGTGATTATGGGACATAGAGGCAACCTTCACTTTGCCAAACATGTCGGGATATGTCAAAACGACGACTGGATGGTGGCCAATGCCTCCCTTGGATGAAAATATGAGCCCTGCTGCCTAAGACGAATGTGAAGAGACCTACAGCGCCTTCCGGACGGGGTTCGAAGTGCTTTGGCTTTGCCAACATCACATCACCCTCTCTGATCGATCGAGGAGCCATTGAGTAGGACATCATAAGACGAACAGAATAAAGAGGGTGAGTATCAAACGGATGAGTGAGTAGTTGGATGCCGATAGTGGGCTGCTGTAGTCATCTTTATATTCGACCTCCGGGCGACAGGCAAGAGAGGACCAGCGCTTGCGACAAATCGTCTTCTGTCCTGTCAAAACAAAACAAAAATGAAGAGCACGCGAGTGAGCGTAACTTTCAATGAGCGACGTTGGGTTAGCGATAATCGTTCCTGGCGATCCCAGGAGGTCGCATATCGTGGCTGCGTCGTTTCACCCGAGGAACTCTGCATATTGAATAGGGGGGACGGTCATCCGCTCGACCGATGTACACACTCTACTGTCAGCTAGTTTCAAGTTGACCGCCTCCTCAACCAGCGGACAGACTGATGGAGAATTGTAGCGCAAAAGGGTTGGCATGATCTATCATATGCCTTGTCCTCCGACCCGAGAGACAGTCTGGATCCACCACAGGTTTAGGCGTTTCAAAAGTCCGGGTCCTAGAGCGGGCAAACTAACCGCTACTAAAGATATGGCGTGTGGTGTTGACAGAGTGGCATTGCGCGCCTGGTCGAATGATGGCGAGGCCCAAGGGCCGCACCTTCCCACAAGGAGTGAAGTGATAGCATTTTGACTTTTCACCCTATGAAAAGACGTCTTGGGGCTGATATTGATCTTTTTTGTCTGATCCATACGGGTTCCTTCGGCAGATACCTTACAGACATGAGAAAAGATAAGAGAGTAAATAAGTTTGCTTACGAATGCAACACTTGAGCCAGAGAAGAGCTGGTTCTGCCACCCAAGAACTCAAAGGTTGGTGCGATCTTGAGAATAAAGCGACCTAAACGAACCTCGAAGATAGCTCGACCAGAGGCATCAGCGCCCAGGTTCCGATCGCGCCATGGAAACTGGGAAATGCAGACGGTTATCGACGAGCGACATAGGGCTCGGTCCCGTTACACAGCTTGGGACAACGTTTGCAAAGTGAGCGATGGTTCGAGAAGAAAAAGGCGACTCGAGATACGTTCGAAGATAGACAAAATAACAGCTGTTGGTAGAAATTGACCATAGACACCTCTAGGGCATCTTCAAGTCTTCGGGTCAATCTTTCATAGATGTCCAGCTGACCCACGCATGAAGAGAAGGTGGGGTTCTGTCCAGTACCTGCATTACCAAGATGTTGATGTCCCTCGTGGACATGAACGTGGAAGGTTCAATAAGCACAGGAAATGCAGGGAGGTAAAATAAACGGTTCATTGGATGAAGGTTTCGGAGGTTGCTGATCTCCTGCCCGCAGGGGTATCATGTAGTGGACTATCCGAGAGCATGTCGGTTTCCTTCTCTAATTCATTCTGAACGAGCTGAGAGAAGAGTCTTCATCAAGGAAAGAAGCCAATCAACATTGAGATTCGTACCTCCTTGAAAATTCTATGATCCCAATGGTGTTGTACATGATGGAGGTCTTCTCGAGGCATCCACCACTCGAGAAATAGAAAGAATATGCAGTCCACCAGTAAGATGATTGTGTACATTGGCCCCGCAAACCGACCGAGGTCCATGGTCCTGAAAGAAAGACTCGCGATAAGGTCGGCAGAAGAAGCATTCAGTGGGTGAATACGTGCCTTCGAATACGTTCCATTAGCTCCATTTGTCTGGACTGCATCACGGCCTCATAAACTCGCTCGGTGCGAGTAGCGACATCTTCCCAGTTGTAGAATGTCTTGATACGTTCATGCGCGCGGAACGGGTCGTGCTTCCCGTTCGTTACGATGTGGACCGCTTCTGAAATCGCGCGAACAACATCTACAGGCGTGGGGATCAATGAGCGGAACCATGATGGAGAAAGTTCGCCGTCAGGGCTGACCATCTTCCTCAGGTTCCGCAAAGCTGATCATGTCTTCGGGCAAGATTTCGGGGACGCCTCCGACTCGGGTGGAGACAACGTACAGACCCGCACACGCGGCCTCGAGGATAGCAATTCCAAACGCCTCGGTAAGAGAAGTGTTCATGAAGATAGACCCGCGAGAGAGGACCTGCGAAACATCAGTTTATGTCAGGTAGTCTGTCATCACTGGCATTTCGTACAGATAGGACATCCTTGTGTCGAATAGGACCGAGAAGCTCGATTCGGTCTTGAAGGAGATGTTTTTCACGCATTTGAAGGAGATCGATCAGTTTTGGGCCATCTCCCCCTGCCAGAGGTAAGAAGTTAAGAATAATACCACGATAAAACACTTGCCTACGACAAAATTGACGTTTGGGAAAAGTGCGCATATTCGTGGAGCGGTTGCAACGAGGAGGTCGATCCCTTTGCGATAGGCCAGTCTTGACAGGACTACGATGGTAACTGTAGGACGTGAGGATGATTGGTGTTCGCGTTGGAAGGCTGTACACATACTGGTACTAGTTTCACTCGCTGGTGGCATACTGGGGGTGAATTGTTCTGCCACGAGTGCGTTCGGAATGACATATATGCTCTTCCTCACTTCGAGGACGTTGGGATAGTCTTCACTTCGTTCAAACAATTGACCTCGCAAAACAGTGTTCTCCCGTCTAGAAGAAGCAGGGTTCATTGGAATTCTCATCATTTTCAGGAAGCGCACCCCGTATGAGAAACACAGATGATAGCGTCCACATTCTTCAGCGTACCGACCAGCAGCTTATTAGTCAAGATACTGGCTGCATCGTCGAAACCAAAGAGACTATGGTCCGTGAATACTGTCCGAATGCCCATAAGATGGGAATGGAGGATGCCTTCATGCCCAATCGAAGAAAGGCTGGCGTGTGCATGGATGAGGTGTACGTGCTCGCGAAGGAGAATAGTCCGGAGATAGGGAAGCGAAGTGAAGAAATTGGGCAGAGTGGCCGACGACGCGATGGGTAGAAAAGGAATGTAGTAAACCTTGAGCGATGGGAGGAGCCAGCGTATTCCAACGCGGTCGCCGTGGCTGTGGGTTATGACGATCACCTGGGACTCGTTGAGATCATACTCGCAAAGTACTTGGGGAGCTTGTCCAACACCTTGTGTCCTCTGCTAATGAGGTTCGCGCTGAGCATATAGATGTGATTCTCAACACCACCAACAGCGGGGTGGAAGAAATCGGAGATCATTCTATGAAAGAACTGAATTTGTCTGTTTTACGGGTGTGTTCGAAGCCACTGACGCGATGGATATTGCGCCCATACCTCCCTTCGACGTCCAGCAATCCGGAGCCCGCTGATCAACGCCGCTTCCCGTGTATATCGCTTTGAGGAGGTACTGGAGTAGATCCAGTTCGATAAATAGCGTCTAAAGAAGGTGCATAGCGATGAAGAATGTCTAGGAGGTTAGAGGGGTCAAACTGAACCTGCGTGTCGTTGTTCGACGCGTCGCCACCGTTGTTTGCATTTGTTGTCCCAAAGCGAATCTTGTGGTTGCCCCTCTGTTAGCCGATAAATGCACTTCTTTTCTGCTCTGCAATCTCGCACTTTGAGGAGGCCATTTACCTTGGGGATCTTCCGTAATGCCCCACAGGCCCATCTTTGGACGAGAAGAAATAATTTGCTTGTGACCACTTTTGGCGACCTATAATTTCAATCGAGGCCGGGAGTAAATTTATTCGGAAGTTTCAAGGTCTAGATCATCCTTATACTTAGCGGGGACATTGGAGAGGAAATTATGAAAACGATTGGTCCGCCTTCCAGGCCTTTGGTTGGTTAAACGCCGTAAGCCCCTCAATCTTTGTTTTCAATTTGCTGAGCGCTCATCACCGGGTCATAAACAGCCAAATCTAGATCCCATGGCTTAGACATAGTCGTTTGAGCAGCTCCATAGCTCTAGCACTGCTCACAAGACACGGCGGAACTTTATCTATAAAGTACGGTAGCGGGCTGTCCAAAAGACCCCACCTTTTGAGCACTTTCCCTCAGCCACCATCTATAGTTCGATCCGCTGACCTCCAAGCCCGGGTACTTGGCAGCTTTACCCTTATAACTTCAGCTCCACGACTACTGGCCCAAGCGCTTACTCATCTTCATCATGCCCTTTGTCGACATCGATACCTCCAGTGGATTGTTTTCCTTTCGTTACAGCATTGCCACGCCGACCTCGACAACAGACTCAGTAGAGGCAATTTCTCCGGATCTACCATGCATTCTGTTTTTACATTCGGGTTATGTAGGACAGGAGGTATTTGAAGGTAATCCGAGTTTTAATACCATTTTTGGCCTCCTACTCAAGCCTGTATTTAGACCAGTTTGCGGACAGACGACTACGAGAATTCAACTTGATAGGAGTTGACATGAAGGGATTTGGAGATACGAAAGGGCTAATCGGAAATGCGCCGTTCACTCCCCGAGAATCGGCGTCAGATGTAGACCAAATTACAGTGTGTTTTCTGGCTTGAGCTCTCCATATACTCGTGCTGACTTTGGTGCTCGCACTGCCAGGAGAAATTGAACCTTCCACCATGTCATATCTTTGGGCTCGCGAACGGATGCACAGTTGCGTTAGAATTAGCTGGAGGTTACCCAAGCAGGGTTTTGTCTTTGACACTATGCTCTCCGCTATCTGAAGTAGAGGTATGCATATGTTTCTGTGCGTCCGTCTGCTGCTTAAGACTGACACTCACATAGCGAGAATCGGTCATCGCTGGTCGTACAGAGGTATTCAAGTATTGGCAACAAATGGATGAAGTTATTCGGTCTCCTACTGCTGAGAGTGAAGAATTTCGAATTTCGACTAGCGAAGAATTGGCCGGAGATGTGTTGCTTGGATCCGGACAGCTTATGGTGAACAATTCCAAGTCGAACCGTGCTGTCTCGTATGTTTGCTTTTACAGCCGATCGTCCAATAACTGATGATTCTATACGTGTCTTCAGGATGCTAAGCCACGCAATAGCGACCGCGAAGCGAAACTGGTCTGGCTCCCCGGAAAAACTGTCCTTAGCTTACAAAACGTCGCTAGAATGGTTCCTGGAAAGGAGGCCAATTCCTGACGACATGTTGGAAAAGGTACGTCACGTAGGGGCTGATCTAGAAGACATTTGCTCATTCTCATTGGACCAACTAGATCGCCGTCCCCGTTAGCATCATCTATTGTTCTGAAGACGTCGCCTATCCGCTAGAATGTGCGGAGGAACTAGAGAAGCGGCTCATCGATGCAGGAGTCCCCAAGGTAGCTCTGTACGAAGTCCCAGGTGCCCACTACGGAAGCATCACGAACCCCAAAGAGTGTGTCAGCTAGACTCAAATCCCCGTCGTCAAGACTGACGTTTATTCAGCATCAATAAAATACTATACGAAACCGTCTCCTCTTGCCACCCGAACCTCCTAGGGAGCTCTGTTTCTTACGTCTTTGACGCTCAAGACAGACTTGTGACGCCTTTTACGGAAGTTCTCGTGCAGCACGGGTACGATCCCGCAGAAGATAGTACGAACGAGAACGGCGGGTTGGGAGTGCATTTGGCTCTATGAAAGTCTAATTGACACCCTTGCGTGGTGATGTATCTTTGCTATCTGTTTTACGAAACATGTATGCAATTGATGGTTTACTTTCTTGTGGTATATGGCGCCAGGTGGTGATCAGGACGAAGGTCATACACGGAGGGGGGTGACTTCATCAAGGCGCATCTAGCCTCCGTGCATCATTTCCAGCGGTATGAATTTCTGGCTATCGGTGGTGACCCGGTTCGTTATGCGGTGTGATTCGGAAACCGTACGAATTATAGCAGGCCCCCGAGGAGACACGTCAACGAAACCCGTGCAAACTCGGAAGTCGGCCACGAGCAGGAGGGGCGTAGCTCTGTTTTTCACTGTTGTCGCGCACTAATGCTGACGACACCCTTCATCCAAGGCGATGCGGCGCCTATCGGTCCTGCACGACTCGTCTTGTTTGCTGACAGACCCGTCCCTTCGCCGAATCGGCACCCAAAGCTTGCCTAGTCTGCATATATTCATTCCAACTTATGTGATTTATATCTTGGAAGAGCCGAAAGCTTACGCAGGTGACGCCGCGACGTACAGTCATCGCTACCGCGTTATCACAACGACATCGTTCCAAGCTCTGAGCGCTTGAGCACTTGCTGAGCAGCTGACATTGACCGTGCTTTCAGTCACCGCACTTCTCACGACGCATATTTATAGCTCCGAGTAAATGAACCACTCACTCCGCGAAGACGTCCGCTCTAGTGACCATTGCTGTGCTTTTTCCCTCGGCGCTCAGACCAGTCAAGTTTGCTCACCTCAAGTTTCCAACGCCTCTACTTGAGTCAGCATGCCATTCGTCAAGATATCCCCTCCTACCGGGCCTCTGAATGTATCGTACTCGATTTCGACGCCGGAATCACATAATGCGGAGACCATACTGCACGGGCTTCCGACTGTGCTGTTTCTGCATCCGGTTTACATGCCGCAACAAGTCTTTGAAGGTGCGTTCGGCGCTACTGGTGGCCAGTCATTCACGTCTGAAAGCCATTCTGTAGCCCAATTCTCAGATTTGGGTCTTCGTCAGTTTAATCTAATCGCGTTCGATATGAGGTCCCACGGGGAGACGGAAGGGGTTATCGGAGATGTTCCATACAATGCGGCAGAGGACGTATACCATTTCATAGTGAGCCATTCCCTAGGTCCGATTATGATGGACTTTTGGTCGAGGTTTCTCATCCTTCTTCTTGTCTGCAGCAAGCACTCGAGCTTCCTCCCTGCCACGTTTTCGCGTTGTCAATAGGATGCTCCGTAGCCCTCGAATTGGCGTCAGCCCACCCAGAATGCCTGCTGTCTCTCATGTTGTGTTCTCCGCTGTCCGCCGAAGAGGTTAGTGCGAACTAATGTGGACACCCTGGACTCACCGCTCAATTGCACAGCCCGAAGACATAGTAGCTGGGCGACTAGAAATACATCAGTACTGGTCGCAAGCTTCCCTTCATCCTGGTACTGCTTTACAGCATATGCTAACCCGTGGAGAGAAGTCGGTGGCGTATGATAAGCAGCTCCTCGACGAGGCTGTTCTCGGAATGAAGCAACTGGCATTCAATAACAGCATGAACCCTCTGACGTCTGCGTAAGTGCTTCCTAACCGCGCGTGTTATTGAGCCTGAAATAAGACATGATGACTATTCTATTTCTAGCATTGTGAACAGTGCCATCTCCCAGTCCCTGCACCACTGGGCGGGCACTGAGGAGAGAACAAAGGAGGGATTCCAGGCAGCGGTCATGTGGCCACTGGAACGCAAGGTCCCAAGCAAGGAGGATTTCCAGAAGGTTTGTAGTACATCCGAAGTCTCGTATGCTCTGACTTAAGTTGTGTTATTCCAGATAAAATGTCCGATCAGGATTATTTATTGTCTCGAGGACGTAGCCTATACTTCAGAAAGCGCACAATATCTGCAGGGGCAGCTCGGTGATGCTGGGCTCGATGTGCGATTACACCAAGTTCACGGACCTCACTACGGATGCGTTGGAGGTGCCAAAGAGTCAGTCAGTTTCCATCTGACCTTCTGTCGATCCCAGCGTGCTGACACTGCGTATCGTTGGATGGATAGGATCAATCCTATTCTTCGGCAGTTCGTCCTGTCGCTGCATGTTAATCAGCCAAAGGTCATGAACGTCTCGATAACGGCTGAGTCTGACGGCGTGAGGATGAAGACGCCGTTCGACGACCTGTTGGAGCGGTTCGATTATCACCCTTCTGATCAGCCAGAGAATGAACTCGGCTTGTAATTTTAATGACCTAGAATGACCTTGATGATGTTTACGCGGAATTGGGATGACTTGGATGGATCACGAACCTCATGATTTAGTATTTACTCAAATCGAGTTTCTGATACTGACATGCCTCGAGGCTTTTGAATGCACGCGAGTTTGAATCGCCCCTGATGGTGGCAACACTCAAGGACGTCTTCGGTGGAAGAGTTGAATTTCTCCAGGCGGGCCACGGTCGGGGAAGAAACCAAATCTCTGCAATTCTATTGACTGGATACTGATCTTATCATGCGCGGACCGCCGTACTATCTCCAGCTAGCTGGGCCTTTCTTTTGCGCACGCCGCGACATTGTATGGAACAGGCAGTCATTTTGCGAGGTCCGGGCGGGGCTTGGGTTGCGTGGAGAGCCAATTCCATGGACCGTGACAGCATTGCTCGAAGTTCTTAATTAAGCAAATAGGGGCATTTTACCGGTGTGGCGCACTTCAAGGGGTTACTACAGGGTCAACCTGATGAGGTTTTGCCTTCAATATTCTTGAAACAGTGATAACAAAATCTATACACCAGAGCACAAAATCGGTCATATTAAAAGCTCAATCATTAACACCTACAAGCAGTCTCCCGTATGTCATAACATTATCGAACAATCACTTCTACTTCAGAAGACTGATTGGAGTATGGTCGCACAGGAAATATATCCCTTCAAAAGTTCTCAATCCCGAAAGTCTACTGCCGCGTTTTGCCTCCAGCCCGATCAAATATTTTTCCATTACATCCTGACATGATGTAGGAATACCCACACGATGAGAGTGGAGGTCATAGGCCAATAGAATCGGTGCTAACCCCACAGTAAGTGCGCTGGACATGTTATTTTGCCCACGTTATGTGTGCAGAGTGACATTACGCTATCAGCGAGATAGTCGCGCGCTGACAGATTCCCCTCCATCACGGATAATATTGCTTATTTTAGGGAGTCTAGAACAGAACGTGCTGCATCGAAATCTTGAAATCTTGGGAAAGCCCACGGAGCGGAGGAGAGCACCGCCTCGCGTGCTTTTCTGTGTTCTGACGCTTTTTGGTCATGACCACATACTTTCTAAGGAAATAAGTCCAGGTCCAGAGTTCGGGATAGGAAAGCTGATGGAATCGAATCGCCTTCCTTTCATGGCTGCCATTTTGAAACCGACGTTGTCCCTCGCCCTAGTGAGTCTTCCCTTTCTCCGTCGAGGACTTCCGTTCAATCTCCGGTAGACCTGTGTCTCTTCTTCATTTCTGCCGTTCATTACGACCTACGGGCGGTACGGCAGACTCCTCAGTATTCGTATGTTTTCCTTCGTGAATAAAAAACGCCGGGTCTCTGATGTGGTTGATCAGGGATCAAAACTAGAAAGTCTCCTGCGAGGCGTCGCGTCGAAATGTCTCGCCTAAGCCCGGGGACATCGATATCTGCCAACGCCATTCGGGGAACTCCTCGTCAGACCCCGGCAGTCAATCACTGAGACTGACATGGCCGACAATTTGGGAGTTCGATCGTGTTTAGTGTTCTGTTTGTGCTGAAACCACTTGGCTGGGATGTCCCACGATAGATGTGCGGATGAATACTTGGATGGGTGGGTGGATATAAGAGAGAGGAGTATGATGGTACGCTTTCCCCACCGAACTCGCAGGGCTGGTCTCCGACGACTTCAACGCCATTAGGCGCTTCCTCTATCTGTACGCTATTCCACAACGACCATACGACCGACACTTGTTCCTTCATTGAACGGCTCGGACATCTGACGAAGCCTGTAGGTCACTCCCAGCTCTTTTCACGATTGATTGTGGACTGAACACTCACTCATGCATGCAGACACACTCATTGAACGACGCCCATCTATCCCTAATTCTAACATCACTCATTTCCGCGCTCCCTATAATACCTAATTATACATACCATGCCTGGGACCATAATTCGGATACGCGAAGGCGATATCATGAAGGCCAAGCCGAAGCACTTCCTCCCTCGTCCAGACGGTGTGGTATGTTCCTTCCCTCTCCCCTTCAGGCTTCAAAAGCTGATCAAGGTGTAGGGAAGCGTTGGCCAACACCCTGTGATCGTTCTCACACCGCCGGACCGCGAAGGCTTCCTCTTCGTGACCCCCATGTCGCACAGTCACCCCGAGGGTACCCCAACGAAGAGGGGATCCCTGTACGGCCTGCCCGTCGATCCCCTGAAGGGCGAGAGCCGCGTGAATATCGGGCAGCCGAAGCTTGTCCATCAAGACAATTTGAAAGCGAACACACCTCATGTCGCCATGTCATATGGCGACTTTGTTGCACTTAAAACAGATATCTGTGAGTAATGATATTCAACAAAACTGGAGAGTGCATGTACTGACTTGAATAACGCAGTTAAAAACCTGCAGCAATACCGTTGCTATCGACAGGTCTAATTAATTAAGCTGCCACCCAGAGCTCGTCGATCGGGACTGTGGCGCACTTTCCTTAATGATCGAATTCACTTCCACGACGGACTATCTAGATTACGGAAATCACACTTAGTAGCAAGACGACTCGCCCAAGGAGCGGCGAGGATAGCAGCGGCTCTGCATTTGGCTCAGAGCACATACGGGAAGGACTTGGTAATTATTACTATTTATTAGACAATATCTTATTCGATAGTAATTCAATAATAGACTGTTAGAGTACCATCGGATTATAATGTACGAAGAAATAAATACACTGGATGTTCTGCCCTAGGGGCTGCTCTCTGAGCATTCGAAGTCAAAACCAACGAGGACTGGAGCTCATCAAGGAGACAGAAATATCTTTTAACCTAGTCTCTGGCACAATCGGTGCGGTGCACTCAAGGCTCGTCTATTCTTCTGGAGTTACTGAGTCAAAACTCAAGCCCTGCAACTGTCAATAATCATGCGTAGGACAGACAAAAAAGAACCAACGATGGGACTCGAACCCATAGCCTCTGCCTTGTCATTCGAGTGCCAAATGTGCACAAGAATAGGAAAGCAACGCACTACCATTGTGCTACGTTGGCGCTGCGTGTCTTTTCAATATTAGTTATTATAGTTCAGACCTGAAGAGTATTTCTGTGCCCATGTGAGAATAATCAAATGGCCTGATTTCGATTCTGTAAGTCGTTCGATGCTGCGACTGCAATCCACGCTTCATTCCTCCACCTTTCACAGCCATCTCTTTGAATTGTCGCGCCATCACCCATTGAAGAAAAAGGTGCTCTCAGGACTCCTGGATTCCTTTAGGCTTTTCCTGTCTCCCAACACTCGCTGCACCTTCGAGCCCCAAACAACGACAGACGAATTCCACAAACCTTGACCGAAATCCAGCGATCATACATGGAGACAGACCACAAAGACGATGACTGGCCGACTTCCTCCTCGTCTACCACCTCCACTTCGATATGGTCCGACGCACCCTCTTTGAAATCCTACAGCGATATGATGGATTTCGCGAGCCTCGACTCAGCCATGGGCCTTGGTGGCCTTGGAGGAATCGACATGGGCATGGGCATCGACATGGACTTCAACCCGATGACGCTCGAGCCAACTGGTGGCATGGGATTGCACCAATTCGACCCTTTGACCCTTAGCCTCGGGTTCGCACCGGGGCAGCAAGGCTTCGCGAACTTTGGTTTCGAAGACCAATTTGGCAGTGCAGACGGGCTGGGGTTTGGTTTCCAGCTCCAGTCGCTAGGACAGACGGGGCCATCGAGTAGCAGTGTGTCGAGCACGTCAGTCTTCTCGGAGTCGGAAGCATCGACGAAGGAACGAAGACTGAGCATCACGTCAACGTCTTCTTCATCGGCCGGGTCGTTGGCATCGTTGTCGCCTATGCCCGAGTCGCTGCCCAGTCCTAGTCCTGCGCCTGGATATGCAAGCACCAGTGCAAGTGCAAGCCCTCCCGTACATCCCAAGGAGGAACCGGTGCAGTCGCCTGGCATGGAGGGAATGGAGATGGATTCGGAGAACCCTTTCGCGGACCTCGCCAACATCGTGAGGCAAACGACTGGCGTAACGCTCGCAGTGCCTATGACAGGTTTGGCTGCTGCCTTTCCTCGTACGTTCCTTCTCTTCTCTCTTGATTTTGACTGACGACTATTCGGCATAGTTGGTACGCCTCAGCAGGCCAAGAGCCCTCAGCAAACCTCGAAGAAACCTCATAGCGAAACTACAAGCGGACATGTATCCACGACGTCTTCAGCTGCCTCTACCCCACCACCATCAACGCCTACCTCGTCTATGGGCAGTCCGTTCGCTGGGCTGGTTGTCAATACATCAGCTGTAGCCTCCGCCTCCGTTTCTCAAGTTCCAACACCAACAATGCCCACCTCCGGTAGTACCACTGCCACCGCCCAACCACGCCCCAAGACCAGTCACACAACCATCGAACGAAGATACCGCACCAACCTGAATGCACGCATCCAGAGCCTTCGCATGGCCGTCCCTGCCCTGCGCGTGCTGGAGGATGGCGTCAAGGAGGGTGTTGGAAGCAAGAAGATCAAGAAGAATGTCCGTGGTGGCGTCATCGTCAAGTCTGCTTCTGGCACAGGGATCGGCATCGGCGTTGGTGTGGACGCCGAGGAGGTGGATATTATTGACGAGCGCGGCTTCGTCGATGGGGTCAAAGTTGCGCGCAAGTGCAGCAAAGCGAATGTACTCGGCAAAGCGGTTGAGTATATCAAAGTGCTCAAAAGGCGAGAAAAGCGTCTGAAGGCAGAGCAAGCCGGTCTCAAGACTCTCGTCAGTGGTCTAGTTGGCGGACCTGCGCTTGTACGAGAGTGGGAACGCCAATGGCGCGAACGATTCGGCGGCGAGGAGCGCGACGAGGTCGAGGGTGAGATGGGGGGCGAAGGTGCTGACGACGGCGATGACGAAGACAGCGAGGAGGAAGACGACGAGGAAGAGACAGGAAAGAAGAGGAAAAGGGCCAAGGTCGCACCCAAGAAGCCAGCGGAGAAGAAGGATAAGAAGTCGGCTGTCAGTGCCCAACCACCAGTCGTCCTCCTCCAAGGTGAAGGAGCTGTAGTCAGCTCAGGCGCCGTCCCAGAGAAGAGGAAGCGGGGTCGACCGAGGAAGGTAGTTCCTGCCCCTGTCACACTGGCGCCCATCCCTCCTGCCGATGGACCGAAGGCTGAAGACGTGCCAACTCCATTCACTGCTGGCGTGCGTGCGCAATGGGCTGTGGCACAAGGGCAAGCACAAGGCCCACAGCCACAGCAATACCTCCTCGCCGTCTTTGCCCTGTTCTCGTTCTTCAACTCCCCACTTACCTCCTCATCCTCCGCCTCGGCAACGCACCATCATACAGGCACAGTGCTCAGTGCCGTGCATCCACCGCTCGCGTACGCCCCAGAAATCGTGGCGCAATTCGTCTCGCCGTCACCTGTTGCGATGCACCCCACTGGGTGGGCTTGGAAGGAGTACGTCCAGCTGTTCCACCTCCTCGTGTCGCTCTGCGTCCTGGCGAGCTTTGTTGCAAGCTGGATTGGCTTTACATTTGGAAAGAGCGGCGTGGAAGGCGTCGCGAAGAGAGGCAGGGGTCTCTCGGTGGCCTCGTTCCTCGGCTTAAGAGCTAGCAGTGAGAAGGAGAGGGAGAAGAAGAGGTCCGGCCTTAAGGGCTGGGTTGGGTTGGCTATGGATAGCGTCTTGGAAGGTTCGTTCGCGCTTTGTATCATTACCTTTACATGCGGTTGGCTCATACAGAACTATAGGCGACGCTGCCTCTTTGACATATTTCGAGCGTTCCCAGATCTATGGTGCTATCTCAACGAAGCGCCGCGCCCCAGCTAGCGAGCTTGTCACCCTCGCTCTCGTTCGGTGGTCCGACAACGGTATCTTTGGCCGTTTCTCGCGTATGCGCGCTCAGGCAATTTGGGGCGCGGCGAAAGCACAAGTCAAGTTCTCTAGCTCGACCAAGGCAGGCCCGCAGAAGGATGGCAAGACGTACCAGAGCTTGGTGTTTGAGACCATACCCGACGTTGAGGACTCCGTCCGCCGGCTGGCCGCTGCTACCAAGGCAGACGGGGTAGGCGAGAGTCGTGCATACGACCCGCTTGAGGTCCTTGGAGTCCTGGTGGTCAAGGAGAGGATCAAGAAGCACCTCGGCAAGATGTTCGTCAATGCTGTCGGTGCCCATTCTGGCGACCCGGAGACGGAAGAACGAGACGAAGAAGAGATCCAGTGGCGCAGGACTATCGATGCTGCTCGCGAGCTCGGCGGTGGTGTGGAGGCGCTCGCCAAGACCTTCGAGCGAGTATGGAAGACTAGCTGCACCTCGTTTGACGGCGCGAGTGAAGATCACATCGAAGACCTCCGCTCGGATATCGACTCAGACGACGGCGAAATTCAGGCGTTGATGACCGCTCTCGTTCTCTTCCGGAGAGTGTTCGCCTCCCCAGCTGCCTCAGATGTAGAGTGCTCGTCCGCTGCGTCGTCGGTGACAATGACGCCCACGGCGAGGGAGCGCGAGAGCGCTGCACATCTCTTGATGAGCCCGCCACCGAGTCCCGACCCTTCGCGCCCGGCACGGCCGGGTGTGAAGGCGGACGAGAGGAGGTTGCAGACGATTCGTGGCCTCCGAAGGGCACTTGGCCATCCAGTCTTCGAGGAGCTTGGGTTGGGTGATGGCGCTGATGATCACCAGCAGGATACTGAGTTGGGTCTGGAGGACGCGAGGGACAGAATCGTCGATTTAATCGTGGATGTTGAGAGGAGAGAACGGATCGTGGCTTAAGGGTTTTTCTTTGGACTCCGAAGAGTGCTAGTGTACCCAACCTGTGACTGCGTTGCCGCATTACTTGACGCTTTTTATTCAGAAACATATGCTTATCCCTTACCCCAGTTTCTTAACAGTAGTTAGAATGTGTTCCGTTTTGTCATTTGTACGTGTTCCAAAGTTGAATTTGAATCTACGTATCGAATTCAAGTGTATGTCGATCGTTTTAATTGTTTCTTTCCAACCAGTGGTGTGCCGGTCAAGCAACCGTCAACAAAGTCAATGACGGTCAAAATGCCATCAGCGACGGTCAAAATGTTTGACCATTGTTCGACCGATTGCCATAACGAGAAGGAATGACATCACTAACGTTGACCATGACATTCTAAAGAACAGAGATAGCGAGTACAAGGATACATACATCAATAAAGAATGTAATTAGTTTGCGAGAACCTCCTCTGCGACCCCATCAAGCTCAGGATCCTCCTCGCCATCTGCGTCCAGCTCCAGAAACTCGTAAAGGGCAAGTTCTTCGTCGTAGTTAATAGTTGCATGGCGGCGGAAGCGGTCTTGCCAATGCTTCGAAGCAAAATCAAATAGCGAGGCAAGCGAGAGGCGCGGAATAACTGCCGATTGGCGAACCGGTAAGTTGTCGTTGTTATCTTCGGCGACGAGATCGATGTGTGTCTGTACGAGATCTCGGAAGGCTCGACGCCTCGGCGGGGGAGACGGCTGGGTTGACTCGGATGTGCTTCAGTCCCCGACAAGTCTGGTGTCAATGACAAGGGCAGAACTACAGCGACGGCGGTAGCAAGATAACGAGGATTTGAACTCCCTGGGAGATGCGGGGTACCACTGTGTACAACAGGGTGTGGCGCAGGTGCAAGTTCTATATAAGTAGAGACAATATTCGTGATCAGTTAATAATTTCAATGCAACAGTGAAGGGGCCACTCACGAGCGCTGGTTCCCCCATGCTCGAAACTCTGTTGTGGCGGTGGCAGTGGTGGCGGCGGTGCTGGCGGTGGTGCAAAATGATGTTTAACCTTACTCTTCGGTTCGGGTCATATGTATTGGTTGCGAACATGTAATTTGACCTCGGTCAAGTCAAGCAATGTCTGATTCTTGAGCCTGGTCCGAAGTTTTGTCAGTGTGTTCCCGAAGACGCTAAATAAGTGCTCGCAGGATGCTGAATTTGCCGAAACTGATTTCGTTTTGCCGGACTTTGTCGATTTTGCGCCAGATTTGCCGAACAAATGGAAAATTGGGTCAGCCTGAGACAACGGACAATCAATGAAGCAGGCGCACCACCATCCCCGTCAGGCATTGCTATGTGTGGCAGATGGCCTCGACATAGCAGAAGGAGACGAATGCAGGAGTAGGAGGCAAAATGCAAAGACAAAGTTGCCTGGTCTGTGTCAGTGATTCTCCCAGCTTTTTAAGCCTCTCAGTTATCAGTTTGAAATAAAAATATGTAGATAGTGTGTAATTTACAACGAGCTTCCACATGCTAATCTGTCAATACTGAAATAATGCTACTTCTGAGAAAGATAAAGAGTGAAAAAGGACCTGGAGAAGGAAGGATCCTTGAGGTTGTGAACCTTGTCATCTACCAGAAATGGGGCCTGTGTCACTCTGCGGAGTGAAATCAAAGGACTATATTTATTCTGTTCACACAAAAGAGCAAGCCTGTATCACACCGGGGTAAAATTAAAGGATTATATTTATTCTGTACACACGAAAGAGCAATCTGTCTGAGCAAAGAGCAACTGAACGCATAGCGCACTTGATGTTTGATGCGCTGATGGGGGCTGTCTAAATTAGGCTTTGACCCCGGCAAAGCAGTGGGAAAGTCCATCAAATATTGACCGTCATTGACCATCAATTGACCGTCAAGGTGGTCAATGGTCAATGTTCGACCATCAGTCATCGACCAGCCAATACTGTTTCCAACTGCTTGCGGAACATACAACACAGGTTTTTTTTTAAAAAAAAAAGTGGCAGATGTGGTGGTTCGAAAAGGTGCAACCAGTTCTAACAAAAGTATATCCATTGTATTAGAATTGAAAACCCTTGTCGAATGGTATATAAAACTAGCAAGTGACCCGTGCTTTGCACTGGGTTTACTATTTCATTGTGATGCAGTTGAATAAATTTACCCGTGGAATTGCAAGCTTCAATACCAGTCCATTGGCTGGTAAGGTTGCCCAGTTCCCAGTCCCCTCCAATTTTCTCTATTACCAAAAGTAAGTGGCCCATGATTTGCACGAGGTTTTTCTGCACCAATTCATTGTGACGCATATTATTCAATACACCCCAGAACTGGAGAATTTTACCCATGGAATTCCGAGTTTTGATACTGCTCCAGTGGCTAGTCATAAAACTGAAAGCAAGCAAATGATACCCGTTTCAGAGCATGTTACAGTACCAGTCCCCTGCATGGTGTTCCAATGTTCTCCTTCCACCGTTTTGATTGAATAGCTGCACCCCCTTGCTCCTCCCCACATTTTTTGCCCTCATATGCTCTATCATTTATTTTTTCCTGTGCAAGAAATTGTCATCTACATAGTGTAAGATACTCAGTCACACCTGGTTTAAAGTTCCGGGCTCTTATCGTGCTTCAAATGTGCACCCCACATACCCCCAGCATCTCCAAGTGCCCTTCGAGCAAGTCCCGGACCCCTAGTAAATGTTAATCAAAGAAAGTGTCATTTATATTGTATACTCTACCCACAGGACATTTATCTCGAAGCATTGAGCTGCATCCAGTATTGGCTGGTCGATGACTGATGGTCGAACATTGACCATTGACCACCTTGACGGTCAATTGATGGTCAATGACGGTCAATATTTGATGGACTTTCCCACTGCTTTGCCGGGGTCAAAGCCTAATTTAGACAGCCCCCATCAGCGCATCAAACATCAAGTGCGCTATGCGTTCAGTTGCTCTTTGCTCAGACAGATTGCTCTTTCGTGTGTACAGAATAAATATAATCCTTTAATTTTACCCCAGTGTGATACAGGCTTGCTCTTTTGCGTGAACAGAATAAATATAGTCCTTTGATTTCACTCCGCAGAGTGACACAGGCCCCATTTCTGGTAGATGACAAGGTTCACAACCTCAAGGATCCTTCCTTCTCCAGGTCCTTTTTCACTCTTTATCTTTCTCAGAAGTAGCATTATTTCAGTATTGACAGATTAGCATGTGGAAGCTCGTTGTAAATTACACACTATCTACATATTTTTATTTCAAACTGATAACTGAGAGGCTTAAAAAGCTGGGAGAATCACTGACACAGACCAGGCAACTTTGTCTTTGCATTTTGCCTCCTACTCCTGCATTCGTCTCCTTCTGCTATGTCGAGGCCATCTGCCACACATAGCAATGCCTGACGGGGATGGTGGTGTGCCTGCTTCATTGATTGTCCGTTGTCTCAGGCTGACCCAATTTTCCATTTGTTCGGCAAATCTGGCGCAAAATCGACAAAGTCCGGCAAAACGAAATCAGTTTCAGCAAATTCAGCATCCTGCGAGCGCTTATTTAGCGTCTTCGGGAACACACTGACAAAACTTCGGACCAGGCTCAAGAATCAGACATTGCTTGACTTGACCGAGGTCAAATTACATGTTCGCAACCAATACATATGACCCGAACCGAAGAGTAAGGTTAAACATCATTTTGCACCACCGCCAGCACCGCCGCCACCACTGCCACCGCCACAACAGAGTTTCGAGCATGGGGGAACCAGCGCTCGTGAGTGGCCCCTTCACTGTTGCATTGAAATTATTAACTGATCACGAATATTGTCTCTACTTATATAGAACTTGCACCTGCGCCACACCCTGTTGTACACAGTGGTACCCCGCATCTCCCAGGGAGTTCAAATCCTCGTTATCTTGCTACCGCCGTCGCTGTAGTTCTGCCCTTGTCATTGACACCAGACTTGTCGGGGACTGAAGCACATCCGAGTCAACCCAGCCGTCTCCCCCGCCGAGGCGTCGAGCCTTCCGAGATCTCGTACAGACACACATCGATCTCGTCGCCGAAGATAACAACGACAACTTACCGGTTCGCCAATCGGCAGTTATTCCGCGCCTCTCGCTTGCCTCGCTATTTGATTTTGCTTCGAAGCATTGGCAAGACCGCTTCCGCCGCCATGCAACTATTAACTACGACGAAGAACTTGCCCTTTACGAGTTTCTGGAGCTGGACGCAGATGGCGAGGAGGATCCTGAGCTTGATGGGGTCGCAGAGGAGGTTCTCGCAAACTAATTACATTCTTTATCGATGTATGTATCCTTGTACTCGCTATCTCTGTTCTTTAGAATGTCATGGTCAACGTTAGTGATGTCATTCCTTCTCGTTATGGCAATCGGTCGAACAATGGTCAAACATTTTGACCGTCGCTGATGGCATTTTGACCGTCATTGACTTTGTTGACGGTTGCTTGACCGGCACACCACTGGAAGAGACACCCTACCAGTATTAATATAGATATGATGTGAGGTGAGTGTAAGGTATGCCGTCAGAGGACCTTTGCGGCCCGCAGAGTTTCCAGCAAAGAGCAGAGTGAACATGCCCAGTACATCGAACCCACAGACATCCCACGCAAGACGTTTCGCCTTTAGAGCAGGCGTTACGCGTTACGTTGCGTTCAAGGGCCCCACCGGCTCGTCTGCACCTTGAACTTGGTGTTGGGGCCCTGCATTGGAGAGGCGACCGGTTTTTTTATTAAATCAGAGTCTGTTGCACGATGTACTGTTGCACTTCTTTCAACAGGAAGCATGAAGTGCTCACGAGGGTCCAGAGCCAATGCGCGATGTCATGTTCAAAAGAAGTCCTCAGCACCGCAGCGAACGCCAATTCCTTCTTGTCTTGGAAATGCAGATGAATGGCCAGAAGGTCGGTCGTCTCGGATGGTACGCATATGCGTCGCCCATGCCATTAACCACGACAACATTCGGCGGGTGCTCGCAAAGGAGGTTTCGCATTTCGTGCCTCTCCAGCTCGCGGATCCTTCAGCTAGGGCAATAAATGCATCTATGACGGTGTCAAATTGCCCAAGGGCAGTGAACGCCGCTAGGTGCTCTCGCCAGAGCGCACGAAAGGGGTGTAAATCAGGAAGAGGAGTCCTACGTCTCGACGGCGTCGTTGGTCGACTCGAATACTTCGCCATTGGTGCTTGGGGTCAAAGAAAGTTGGATGGGCATCGTAAAATAAGGATGAGGATCAGTAGGATGCGGGGATGACGGTCGAGAGTAACCAGTAGGGAAATACGATGGACAGTTTCATGTTAGGGGGCTGGCCGGGAGCTGAGTTGATCCGGGACTCATTTACGAGCTGAAGCGCTGCGATGGGTTACATACCGACCCTGAATTCCCCAGCTTGGTCCTGAACGTCATCGTTGCAAGAGTGTCGTTCAGTTTCGTGGGACCTCAGTGGACTTGGAAGACGCTGCCATGTGGAGGCATGCCGGTACCCAAGTTAGGCTCCGCGCCAATGGCTCAATTCCTCAAAAGGTGGCACTCCGGCCGCTATCTCAGATTTCTCGTTCCCTCTCATCGACATACTTAGGGCGATCGTCCTGTCCAGCACTTCGACGACCAGGACAGACATTAGCGCCAACAGCTCAAGGAAGACCGCGGATTGTGATCGCCAGAAGCTTTCCCACTAGCGCAGCCTGCGACTCTCGACATCTCGTCACAAGGAGCAACCAGGGAACACACGAAGATCAGGGAGGGTCTGAAGGTATGGGTGCTGTCGGAACACAAACGGTCAACACAACGGAGAGGTTGGAGAAGTTGCGGGCGTTGATGACGACTCAGGGTGTAGGCGCTTTCGTCGTTCCAAGTGAAGACCAACGTGCGTTTCTTTTATCGATCTCGTGGAGCCAAACTTCTGAATCCCTGCGAGTGGTTGAATACTGACGATCTTGTGACGACGTAGATTCGAGCGAGTATCTGGCACACAGCGATGAGCGCCGAGCGTTTATCTCAGGATTTAACGGTTCTGCTGGTGTGTTATTACATCTCTGCAACCTCCTTTGCTGACGGAGGGGCTTCGTATATCGCGATGATGATACAGGTTTTGCGATTGTCACTCTAGACAATGCGTATCTGTTCACGGATGGGAGATATTTCCTCCAAGCAGAGAAGCAGCTCGACAGGTTGTTATGCCTCATTCTATTGGGATTTCTGTCGCTCTGACGTTAGTCGCTCGACGTGCAGCAACTGGACTTTGATGAAGCAAGGACTGCCTAGTACGACCTCTTCACTCATCTTGGTGGAAGAGGAGATAATTGATATTATATGAAATGTAGACGTCCCGACTTGGCAGGAATTCTTGTACAAGGTGCGGCCTCTCAATTCCATCCAGCAACGCGTCTGGGACGAAGGGACTGATCGTGTGCTATAGAAACTTGACCCAAAGACCAAGATAGGCATCGACCCTACGCTCCTCTCTGCCTGTTCGTCTTCATCGATTTGCTGGTATTAGATTGGTCAGATTAATTCACGGTGACCCTTGCAGCCGACGCGGAATCTCTCAGCAAGCAACTTGCGCCTCAGGAGTCGGAGCTCGTTTCCCTGCCTGACAACCTTGTCGATCTAGTCTGGGGGGAGGACAGGCCTCCGCGACCGAAGAATGGGGTGGTGCATTTGGATGAGAAGTACTCAGGTTCGACCCGATGTAGCCCCTACTTGGATTATGGGGATTAATATCGTTTTTAGGCCAGTCTCTCGACGATAAAGTTAAGAAGGTCAGGGAGGAATTGACGAAGAAGAAGGCCAAGGGAATTGTGGTGACGATGCTGGACGAGGTCGCGTGGTTGTTCAACTTGCGGGGCTCGGACATCGATTTTAACCCAGGTAAGAAAACCTTCCCATTGAGGCCCTTCTTTTCGAGTCGAAGTTGACCGCCCTATACAGTGTTCTTCTCCTACGCACTCGTCACTCTGGACAACGTCGTTCTATTCGTCGAATCAGAGCAACTGACAAAGGGGGCTCAGGCGTACCTCAGCAGCCACGATGTACAGATCAAACCATATGGCGCGTTCTTTACGCATTTGAAAGAACTTCCGGGCATGCTGGATTTGAGCGAGGAATCTGTGCGTATTCTCTGTGCTTGGATTTATTTTGACTAATGATGAGCAGAAAATCCTCATTGGCGACAAAGCCAGCCAGGCTGTAGCTGATTCACTTGGCAAGGGAAAGTACACCATTGTTACGCCATCGCCCATCACAACCCTCAAAGCAATTAAGAATGAGGTTGAGCTGGAGGGGTTCAGGCGGTGTCACATCCGAGATGGGGCTGCGCTTGCTAGGTAGGCCGCATTCTCCTCTAGCCGCTACCACGCTGAATATGCTCATTACATTACAGGTACTTCGCCTGGCTCGAGGAGACCCTTAACGAGGGCAAGGAGGTCACAGAGTGGCGAGGCTCTGAAGTCCTCGAGGGATATCGGCGCGAGCTGGACCTCTTCCAAGGGTTATCATTCACGACAATCTCGTCTACAGGGCCTAATGGTGGTGCGTACCGCCGGAGTTCTTTGGTTTAGAGCCTCTTGCTGAAACGTGGGACGCAGCTATTATTCATTACTCACCAGACCCAAAGGCTTCTGATATCATTAAGAGGGATCAGGTATGCTCTCGGAAATGTTGCTCTGTTTTGAGATGCTGATGGATGACTAGATATACTTATGTGATTCTGGAGGTCAATTTACGGACAGTAATGTGTTGTGTGTATGCAGGTGCTGATTGAGTTTGGTAGCCCAGTTCCTTGACGGCACAACGGATGTGACGAGGACATGGGTGCGGATATCTATGCTATCCGTTCATCGAGAAGACACGCTGATATTGGACTTTGTATGAAGCATTTCGGTAACCCTACGGATGAGGAGAAACGCGCATTTACGCGTGTCTTGCAAGGGCATATCGCTATCGATACTGGGGTCTTCCCGAATGGGACAACAGGCTATCTCATGTGAGTTGTTAAGGTTGCCTCAAGGCCTTTTCTGACTATGGGAACGTGTCCAGTGACTCCTGGGCACGGAGGGCGTTGTGGCAGGACGGCTTGGGTGTGTACTATGCCTCGCCTTGTGGGTGCGCAACTGATCGTAGACAGACTACAGACACGGGACTGGACACGGTGTAGGGCACTTCCTCAACGTGCACGAGGGGCCACAAGGTATCGGCACACGGATAAGTGCGTCTGACATCCATTTTCTGTCCCTCTGTACTGACTCGGCTCAGCCTTGAATAGCTCGCCGCTGAAAACTGGCATGACCGTCTCGAATGAGCCTGGATACTACGCCGACGGGCGGTTCGGCATCCGAATTGAGAACATTGTACTCGTAAGGGTGGCAGAGACCCCAAACAACTTTGGGGACAAGGGATACCTCGGCTTTGAGCACGTTACGTTGTGGGTATTGTTCTGATTTCTTCAATCAGGAGACACACCCTGACACGGTTCTTTCGGTGGCACAGGTGCCCGATCCACAAGAAGTTAGTCGATGCCAACTTGTTGTCCGAAGCGGAGAGGCGGTGGTTGGATGACTACCACAAGGAGACTTGGGAGAAGGTGTCACCTTTGCTGAAGAACGATGAGAGGGCTCTGAAGTGGCTTGAGCGAGAATGTAGCCCTCTATAACTTGTTCTCTTGACCGTCTAATGGGCTATCTGCAAATTCTGACTTTGATCTTACACACATTTAGACGCGCGGGAGCCGGGTAGAATGGTGTTTGGCGGATTGTCCATGTCAACATTTATGTAATTGAATAGGAAATTGGACTTTGTAGTGACCTGTCCGTGACAGGGTAAATCGTCTCGCATTGTTGCGGATTACAACATGGCCGTGCTCAACCTTTTGTCTCCTCCTTCATCTACGAAAATTAGAATTTCGCCGGAATAATCGTTATTGGGAGCCTTGAGGATCCGATCTTGCCTCAAGGTCGTTGACGTGCTACCTGCCGCTACTTTAAGGTTGCCCGTCACTCACCTCGCATGCGTTCACTTCTTTCTCCCAACTCGAACGCGCAGAATCGACACTACCACGCTCTCTACCGTCGTTTGTTTTCTTTTCCTCATCCGAAGAACTAGTGTGGATTCCGAGGCCCAAGATGCCCAACCACGCGCCACCCAACCACCCGACCACGTTCTGCATTCCCTCTGTCACAACCGGCTGCACATTCGGGAGGAATTGCTCTCTTCGACATGATATCTTCAAGTGCTCATGCGGCCTAGTCCTTCTTCAGGAGGATAGGAAGGCCCATCTTAACGGAAAGCGTCATTTACAGCAGCTGCAGGCTCGGAACGGTGTTGGTATTGCCGAACCGAGGCTCCAGGGCTCCAACAGCAAAACAGGGCAAGGAGGAAACTCTTCGGGTCAGCCGGCCAAGGATCATCATCGGCGTAGCGCTTGGATCCAGGGAGGGTCTCAAGGAAGCTCCTGGGGAGGACAGTCTACTGGAGTGCCCAGGAACTATCAGCCCCAACGGGATGCGCAGCGACCTGGAATTCCTAGAATAAACGGGCGCGTCAACGGTAATGTGAGTCGTACATTGGTGCTGATATCTTCATGCCAATCTCTAACTATGTTGAATAGGTCCCACAACCCCAAGCCCCTCCAGAAGAAGAGCTCCTGCCTTGCGAACAATGTCTCAAGAAGGTTCCCCACTCAGAATATGATACTCATGTCGAGAACCACATACGCGAGCAACGGATCGAAGAGGCCAAGGCTGAACTTGAGGCGGCGAAGGAAGACAAGGAAGGCGTTACTGTGTCAGCCAGAGCTGGCGTGGACTTCGGCGTCCTGGAGGCCACCAATGCTGTAGAAGTTGTTATCACCGTTACAAGTGTTATATCGGCTGTGTACCTCCGTACCTGCAGGATGGAGTCCTCGGGACGCGGAGATGAACATGGGACGAAGTAAGTGAACTGACTGACTATTATTCAAAGCCGACAATTAATTATGCTCCAGGTTTTCCGCTCGCCTTCGAGGAAAATCGAGGGTCATCCAGAAGGGAGTTACTCGGCAACTCTCCATAATATTCCACCCTGCATATGAAGGACATTACAAAGACTTCCTTGAGCTCGTGTTTTACGACGCGGAAAAGGATAAGGCCTTCGCCATCGCTCGTACGGTTGAGGCTACGGTTGGGTCCAGGGAAGACCACGACCAACTCCAGCCAAAGGCCCCTTATACCAGACGGAAGTTCAAGAAATTTGATCCAACCGGAACAATTGTTCCTAGCTTACGGCCTCCAACATGGACGAAGACCCTGTGGAAGGACAAACTCCCATTCTTCGATCCTCCTGCGCGCTTGATTGATGCTGCGTATGGCCCAGGGAGTGGCAACAATCCTCTACCAATGATTAAGAGGTTCATGCCCAGCACTTTCAACGTAAATACATATGGAAACTGGTTTCAAGTACTACTGTATCTCGAGGAAGAACGAGTCAAGTGAGTTCATATCTTTGTTCTGCTGTCATTTTTATTGACATTCCTTCAGGTTGGACTTGGATATGTATTCTTTGACAGAGGCTGAACTCGTACCGAACCACCCTCGATACAAGTATGCCCCATCTGTCCACCGTCGTGGAACGAAGCTGACATGCCACCCAGTTTGCAGGTCCAAGGTCTGGCAGAGAATCGGCCTTCGGTCCTCGTTGGCGACTTCATTCTCGTCAGTCGTCCAGCAGGTCCAGAGACTATCAACACACGCACCTGGTACGAAGGTCGAGTGCATCACATATACCAAAACTATGTCAGTCTTGCATTCGGCGAAGGCTTTAGCACGTACAAAGGGACCAAATTCGATGTGCGATTCGTTCTTAATCGGCTGCCGTATAGGCGAATGCACTTTTCGCTTGCCAACAAGTTCAACCCACCACGATTTCTTTTTCCAACTCGGGTGCATATCAAGGAATCTGCCAGGGTGTCAAAAGAAAAAATTGCGTCGATTACACCCGTCGATAGGAATATCGGAGAAGATGCTGAGCAGATGGAGACTGTCGCCGCCATCCTGAATCAGAAACCTGGAAGTGTACCATTCATCGTGTTTGGACCGTAAGTAAGGTTTTCAGGTGTCATCCTCGTCTGAACCAAGTCTTTTCAGACCAGGAACAGGCAAAACGGTTACCATCGTTGAAGCTATGCAGCAGCTCCTCGATTCAGATCCAAACGTCCGCATCTTAGCATGCGCGCCAAACAACTCGGCCGTTGACACCATAGCCCTCAAGTTGATGCATCGTGGGACGTTAGAGGTCTTCCGCCTGAACTCCCTCAGCAGAAAAGTTGGTGATATGCCAAAGAACCTCCGTACTTTCTCGCTCATTAACGGTAACACCGTCTTCGCGATGCCCACAATCGAGGACCTGGCAAAGTATCGAGTTGTTGTTTCAACGTGCCTCTCTGCTGGAGTTCCGGCAAATCTTGGGCTGAAGAGGGGTCATTTCACCCATATTTTCATTGACGAGGCTGGCCAGGGCAAGGAGCCAGAACTCATGGTTCCAATCAAGAGTATTGCGGACGAGACGACCAATCTCATCCTTGCCGGGGATAATCAGCAGTTGGGCCCAATCGTGCATTCTAAGTGGGCTGGTGCACTGGGACTGAAGAAGAGCTATCTCGCTCGCATCATGGAGATGGATGCTTATAATCTGGATACACACAGTGGTATCACGTACGTGCCTTTTCTGTTCGTCCATGATTGACAGACTTCTGATACCTGTCCATTGCAGCATCGTCAAGCTCTTGAAGAACTTCAGGTCGCATCCTGACATCTTACGCTTTTCCAATGAAAAATTCTACAAGTCTGAGCTTCAACCGTGTGCAGACAGCGCCATCACTCGCTCCCTGGAAAAGTACGAAGAGCTGCCAAAGCAGAATTTTCCAATTATCTTCCACTCTATTGTTGGCAAGGACATGCAAGAAGCCAACTCACCTTCGTTCTTCAACATAGACGAAGCAACGATCGTGAAAAAGTACGTCATGTCCTTGGTTGGAAACAGGAAGAATGGAACAAGTAAGCAACTCAATTGCTCATTACCATGAGTGGGTTTTCATATGCGACCTTTGTTCATTTGCAGAGCCCGAGCACATTGGTATTATCACACCATACCATGCTCAGAGGTGCAAGATTCTGGACCTTCTCTACAAGGACCCAAATTTGAGGGATATCAAGGTTGGCAGTGTGGAGGAGTTTCAAGGCCAAGTAAGTGTCGTTTATGTTCATCTAGGGAGCTAGTATTTGACTCCTGATCCTTCTCAGGAACGTCGGGTCATAATAATTTCGACTGTTAGAAGTAAGACCGAGTTCATCTCGGCTGACATCCGGAGGAATCTAGGCTTTGTGGCGGACAAGAATCGACTCAATGGTGTGTACTTTTCTTTCATATTTAGACCTCACAAATAAAGGTAGCCTACTCTAGTTGCCCTGACCCGCGCCCAAGCACTGCTAATTGTGATCGGCAATCCTATCGTCCTGTCGCTCGACCCACTTTGGCGAAGCTTCCTCAACTACGTGGCTCTAGGTGGAGGCTGGAAAGGGCGGAAGATGGATTGGGACCCAAACGAACCCGTCTGGTCTGACAAGAACTATAGTGCAGACCTTCAATCCAAGGCAGAGGGAGAGATCCAGGAGACGGTGGAGAGGATCAGATCCCTCATTATGATGAAGCATGAGGAAGACGGATTCGACCTTGACATCGACGATGACGATGACGCTGCCGCAATGGAGAGACCGATCTTGCGGGAGGCAGAGTGACGCTGTGAGCAGATTTACAGGGTTGGAGTTGCCATACGTTCTGTGTGGGTGCCGTACTGATAGAGACACGATCCTTTTGTTTTGTTCGCTGATTCCTAAATTTGAGACGCCAATCGTACACTTATTCATAGTTTACAGGGTATCGAAAAGATGCACGCGAAAGTTCCATGGAAGAGAATATCTAAACACCAATAGTAGAAAGTCGTGTGGGTCATGAAGGTTGTGCTTTGCAAGGAGAGTGAGCACCGGGAAACGGCCCACTAAACGTGATGTCTTACCAGAGCGCCTCGTCGGTCATGCATCATGGCTGAGGTGACTTCAGGCCTCCGTATGCCAGCTTCTCCATCTCGGTCTTCTTCTCAGTAAGCCGTTTTATCTTGGTTGTTCGTCGCTCATGGCAATCCATGCAATACATGGCTTTCTTTGTCTTCGCAAATTGGCGCTCGTCCAATAGTTTGCTGCATTTCTTGCATGTGAAGCACCCTGGATGGTAATAGACGCCTTCGCTAACATATATCACCCTTCCAGCTATACCCTCCTGGCATGCAGTACATCGGTGTAAGCAGTTTTCGCAGAGAGGCAGGCCGTCGAAATCCAGGAAGATGCGGTTGTCTATGGCAAGAGGGTTTTCACACCTCTTGCATCTGTAGCAGTCTACGTGGAAGTAGAGCTGCCTGGTAAGACGGGCTGGCATCAACGCAGGCAAGGAGAACGAGGATCATGTCGCGCTCACCCGCATGCGATAACAAGGCCGCCTTTCTTCCCGGCAGCTAGCCGCTTGCATTTTGGGCAGAGCCGTGAATCTTCAGCAATTGTTTTCTCCGTTCCAGACGGATTTCCGGGGTGCAGATCGAAGACCGTTCGTTCTCGATTGAGGGCCTTGTTGGTTTTATCGTTCATGAGGTGATAGCAGGAGGGAAGAGCAGTGTGCCGTCTTCGCAGAATGTCCTTTGTCGCTGTATGCGATCGGCCGGTCACTGCCACACTGTAAGCAAGGGAACTCATAGAAGCTCATTGAGTCATAGACCGCTCGTGGTTGCTAACGACGATATCTAGACACGATAACATTTCAACATCAGTGCAAAGCAAGATAAGTTGGCTGCGAAGGATTCTTGGAGGTAGTGAGAATAACAAAACATGGACAAGAAATACAAAGTTATACATAGTTGATACATATTTGAGGGTTTTTCATCTACAGGGGAATACTCTGGAATAACGTGACGAAGAAAAGCGGTGGGAGAGCGAAGATAAGTAAACGAACCAGTCCCCGTCAATCGTACCACGACGCCATTCCTGTATGCTCTTCATAGTATAAAAGGATCTTCCTGGTATCACCAGCCGTCAGGAATTGATTGGCAACAAGAATCTTTTGGGGCTATATTTAGTTGAGCAGCATTCCAAGGAAGAGGAGACTCACAAATAACCAGTAACGTAGTGCATCCCACCCAGCAGCGCGGTGGATTATCTTCCAGTACTCATCAACAAACGACATAGCCCCTTCGAGGTAGTTCGAGATGAATTTGGTCCTGGAAAAGGTGGGTCGTTGATCCTTAGCAAAATTCAATCAAGGGACGGTAGAGGATTTCGCACCTATTCAACAGAATCCACCGCGCCCACAATGCATGCATCACCTTATACTCCTCCTTGACCTCATCTGTCTCGTAGATTTCCTCCTCGCGATCAATGACGTCCCAATCAAGCACACCGAATTTCTCCATCGGCAGTGTCCCAAGAAGGTCAAAGAGGCATGGCCCACCCGGTCGAGAGGAGTAGTAGACTGTTGGACCTCCATAGTCGGACTTTGCTGGGAGGTAAGGAGGTTGTGTGGCAGGGCCGAGGGGATTGTCTTGGGGAGGAGGCGTCACACACCGCTGGCTTCTCGAAGATAGTGCTGTTGCTGTGCTCGTGGTAACTCTTGTTGTTGTCGCAGTGGTTCTCGTCGTAGTCGTTGTAGTTGTAAGGGTGTTTCCAGTAGTCGAGCGGCTCCTTGAATTAGGGGCTGTAGTTTGAATTGTGGACCCCCTACTTGGGGAGATGATAGATGGCGGAGGTTCTGATGTTATCGTGGACGGAGGAACGCTAGACGGCTCAGACACTTCCGTTTTCTGACGCAACTGGGGCAATTTGGAAGGCGTGACTATTGGTCGAAGAGGACTCTGCCGGCGCACCGAAGGCGGAGAGAGGGAAACGGAGGGAAAAGGACTGCTGATGACATTTCGGTTTTGAGGAGTGGCTGGTGGCTGTTCAACATCTGGGAGGGCTGGTGTCATGAGCTCGTCTACTTGTGGTTCTTCCTGTTCCCCCTCCTCCTCTTCCTGCGGTTCCTCTTCCTCGACCTTTGCAACAATTGGAGGTAGAGAAAGTCGAGTTCTTGGTGCTTCCGGAATAACGACAGACTCGCTGGTAGCTTCTGGCTGACTTTGTCTGTCCTGCAGAGGTTCAGAAATTAAGATCTGGAGCTTCCAAGATTCCCTGTCCTGCAAGACAAAGAAAATTCAAATCTGGCAAGTCGGTAATAAAAAAATAGACGGTACCTCATCTTCGTCAATTTTGTGCCACTCGTGGAACACTTCAGCATGGTCCCAACTCAAATGACATCCTAACATTTCTTTCGTTTCGAATGACCCGAAGAGCTCGCATAGAGGACATAGCCAGTCGGAGACTTCAGCTTCGTGAGAGATGCCGCCCGCATATTCGTATAGGACGGTGAGGGACACCTCCTTATCATTGCTGTAGACATCTATCTCAAGCCCTCGGCAAAGCTTTGAAAAACCCCGGCGCAAATTCCGTCGAATGAAGGGGAGCTGACGTGTACTTTGCATGCGGATGGATGGCAGCGACAGCATTTCAAGAGCTGCCACTAGCTGATCTGGGGGGTCTGGCTGTGTGATTTCGTCGACCACAATGACAGGTGCTGGGTCGATTTGAGGAAGAGGGATAGTGATCTTCGGCGGCGTGTCTAGAAGGAGGATCGGAGGTGGCGAGATATCCTTGGCTGGCTCACCCATCTCGACGTCTCTGGCGGGCGGAGTAGGTGGTAGCGGTATTGGGACTGGCGGAGGGGTGTAGTTGTCCACGTCCAGCTCGTCGATGTCAGATCGTGTGCGCATACTCTCATCGTCAGAGCTGCTGGGACCGCTCGACGAAGTGTCGGCGTACTCAATCTTCCGAGCAGCCTTCATTGCGGTCTTCTTCATCGCAACCTGTGGTCTCAAGCTGTATCGTGATCAGTAAAGTGGGTGAACACTGGGAGATACTCACTCGCTGGAGACTTTCCGGTTGGCTACCCTTCGTGCCGACCTGTAACGTAATTCGTCCTCGTCGCTGTCCAAGATTTCCAGCACGCCGTTGACTTCGAGTATCATCTTGGAGGCGATATGGGTCTTGGGTCGGTTAGAGCTGTCAACGTCAAGCCGGATGGCATCTGCTGGCCCTCGATGACCGGCACTTGAGGTCATACGTCTCGTGAACCCGCCCAATTCCCCATGAGCCCGTTTGTTTCTGCGCGTCCTCTCTTCGCGTTCACGGTCTAGATCTTGCCAGAGAGGGAGCAATGTACTTGGTGTCTTCGACGGGATATGGCTTGGTGCGCTTTGTGGAGTCGCGGCATTGGAGGGTCTAGAACCAGCTTTCCTGGCTTCAGATGTCGTTCAGAAATGTACTTTTCATAAGATGATCCTGAGCTTACCAGGTGCTGATATTATCGGAAAAGACGAACGAGGCCGGATCCCAGTGGAAGCTGACTTGTGCTGATATTGACGCAGAGTTAGAAAGAGACAGTGAGAGGCTCTGTCAAGTATACCTGTTGGAAACGAACGCGGGATGGTATGGGTATGGGTGCACTGCTGCCAGTGGATCTTGATGCCGCCGGTTGAGTCGTCTTCTTCACCGAGAATACAGATGGAAAACTCGGGCGTCCTTGGGAGACACTCGACACTCGTGCACCGGATTTGAGCGCTCTTCCAATGGCAGGCAGCCCAGCTGGTCGACGAGATGTGTCCCCGTCTGTGGATGTCCTTCGGGGCGGTGTTGGAAAAATGGATCGGATGGGTCTTGCCGGGTTCCTTGCTTCGGACTCGCCTCCACTGCGCACACCTGTCCTTGGAATATGGTGAAAGTCACACGAGAACACAAATCGCTGGCGTACCTGTTCGTGAAGGTTGTTCGCTCGACATCGTCACCCTCTCAAGGACGTGGGTCAAGACCCGACATAATAATGTTGCTGCACACTCAAGAGTCAACAGTGTAGAAAAAAGCCTTCCGCTATCATCAAGCCGTCACGCGTTCTCCGAGTCTTTATTTAAATTCTTCTGCAACATATTAGTTAAATTTCATTCTGGAACTAGGAGCCCTGATCTGACCAACCTTGTCGAGCCTCAATATCTATGTACGGACTCTTGAGCAACTTCAAGGGTAGGTATGCTATCACGTGATCTAGCACAGCGTGACGCCCATAGTTCTGGTTCGTTAATTACGTCAGCAAATAATTCTTTCTTCAGGACGTCGACAAGGGCGACAATGACGACCATAGCGTCGGCTATGCCCTCAACGCCACGCAAAAGACCTGCATCACGATCTCCAGATGGCGCGAGAAACTCAAAGCGCCAGCTTACGTCTTCTCCAGAGGAAGGCGAGGTCGACGATACGCTACCTACTCCTGGCCTAAATCCAAATCCCATAATTCCCGCCATTTCACTTCCTGCGAAACCGGTTCCTCTAATCAAGAAGAGTGTTCCTTTTCCCTTCAAGAGAAAACCTGATGGACCCAAGAGCTCTGCAGATGGGGAGAAGTCAGAACCCTTAAATGTGTTCGCACAATACGAGGAGGCACATAGGCCGAGGGAAGAGCCGAGGAGGGCGAACAATCGACCACCACCGAGGAGCGGGAAAACTGATCATTGGGAACCGAGTTTCGGACGAGGAGAGTCATTGTTGTCCAGAATTGAGCCTCTAGAGAGCTATCGCCGTCACGAGTTAGGATCCAGTCGAGACAGCTGGGACAGGGAGCGAAGACGGTCACCCACAACACGCAATTCACCACCCCGCTCACGTTCACCACCCTCTCATTATCGCAGC